GTCTTGACTATCTGAATTCTGTGAAATCGCAAATAAATATGTGTTTAAATAAGATATAAATAGTAAATACTATTACACGTGCGATATTGATTGCGATCGGTATAATCGATGCTAACTTTGGATAAGTCAACTGTACCTTCTTTTTCCATCAATGTTTCTATATATATGCTTAAATATGTTTGAAATTCAAAGAGAGAAGAAAATACCTATAATATTGGTATTCATTACAAAATTTCCACAAAAAATTGGATGCTTTTCCAACTTTGCGTTAAAAACGATATCAAATTATCGATTTAAGCGATAATAAGGGAATTTCAAGTCTTAATTTTATCTAGTTCACACGAACGGACAGAATTATGAAAAATATATATATAATTTGCGCTGAGGCCTTCTTTTTTCAGCCTGTTACATACAGTTTTAAAAATCCATTACACCCTGAATTCCCATTTAATATGGGCTCAGGCTATAAAGATTAAAAAATATTACGATGGGTCTGTTTGAAATTTGGAGATTTTCATAAAAGGGCTTCTCAATTCAAAAAGCGATTGCTCTTATTTGGCTTATTAACTAAGCAGCTTTATCTTCTAGCCAAGTATCTATTGCTTATCGACTTAATCCAGGTAATTTAGAAAGTCTCACTCTTATAATAATACACATAATATTGATTCCTGTAAGTTGCGTATGACTAAACGAGAACCATTCAATTTTATAAATTTACGAAAGCCAACAATAGCAGTTATGAATAACCAGGCATTAGCAGCGTGCATTGTAGTTCTCGTGTGCTGTGGCTCACACACACACACATGCACACATTATCATTAAAATCTCTTAACATCCTTCGTTTTCTAAGGATTTGGCAAACAGGATGCTACGATGGCTTGCCATATCAGAAGCCATTCACGGCCGTTGCAACACACAAAAGTCAATATGCTGTATAGATTTGCGTGTATATGTTTATAAATATATATTTATATATTTGTATGTGTGTGGGAGTGCCTACATTTATTTGGCTCTCAAAGTTTCTGACCTAATACAAATTTTGTGATCAACCCTTTGACCGAAACTGATTTATAACATTTGTGAATTTATATTGATATGGGATTAGGATATAAATAGGATGTATGTTAAAATATAAACATATATGCTAAAATATATACCATATACATATATATTTTCCAAGAGGTCACATTGTTAAATGTTAGTCTTTTGTTTCAAGAAATAAGTATTTCTTTAGTCACAAAATTGTGCAATATTCATAATCTTAGGCCCGAGGTGTAGTCAAAATAATTAAATACAAAATAATTAAATAAAAAACGTACATTGAATAAAAGCATTTATCAGTTTTATCCAATTATTAAAGTCCTAAACTTATAATATTATCAGATACTCTGGTTAGATCAATTGTTGATATTACCGATTCATTGTTCCTGTTAAAAGCTAAAAAATAAAATAAGGCAACATATGGAGATACCTTCAAATATTCATTAAGGATGTACAATAAAATTAGCATTATTGAATTTGCAAAAAGTTGAATTACAATTAAAGACTATTGTCAGACATTATTAGCTCAACTTTCCAGTAGATTGGAACTCTTTTCACTGACATCTGTATCGGAGATGAACAAATTTAATCTCATTTTGTTACCGGTAAAAATATATTTTTTATATACAGTGATATAACAGTTATACATAAGGATGTAAAATGCTTCAGATGATATGTAAATATGAATGTGAAGTGATGAAATACATAGCATTCAATCATACCCATGTCAACTAATATTCAGCTGACAAAATTGTGCTCTACAATTAAATGATATTCATTCATTTATTTTACATACATTCATACTTACATCCATACGTACATTTTGTATGATACGTAAATACATTAGAGCCGCATGCTTCCATATTTATTTGCTTATGCTTGGCCCCGGCTAGCGAATGCAGAAAACATCCGAGGCGTATGAAGGGCGTTACGACGCGACTCGACGCTGGCATCGCGCGCTATGATGTTCTTATTGTTGTTGTTGCTGCTGCTGTTGCTGTTCTGGCTGCGCTGCTGCTGCCCTTTCGGCACACAGGCGCGACCAGTTTTCATTTCGCTTTTGGCATTCACGGACTGCTGTCGCTGCCGCTGTCGACATTGCGTTGTCGTTGTCGTCGTCGTCGTCGCCGTCGGGTCGAATTTGGTGAAGTTACTTATCAAAATATCGAGATTTTCACAACACAAAAACATAGTGTATCATTTGGTATCATAGTATAAAATTGGACGATGGATATTTATTGCTGACAGAAGATGTGGTTAGGATACCATTGATAAAAAATTGTGTTTACTTGCTCATTGAGTGGTCCAATCGGAGTTACTATGCTCAACGGATCTCATTCTCTTTAGATTCAAGTTACAATATGATAACATGACTCTATCTTATGTGGATATGCCTGCTGTAATTGAAATTCAGGTTAGTAACATAATATTCGTAAGCTTCTAATATCTGAATTTCGCTAAGCCTTATATTGGGGGAAACACCGACGGCAATATACATTTATCTACGCTCAATTCGTTAGAAGTCTTTGGATACTATCAAGCAAATTGGTGAAGTGGAGTTACATTTTGTTCTTTAGTGCCTGCGATAATAGCTTATAATGAACATTGTTTTTCTGCTATTGCAATATTAAATGACGGATAGTATGATTATGAAAAGAATAAAAAAGCTATGTGTGATAAGCTAATTAACAATAACATTTAAGTTGAATATTGTATACCTTATTTACAGAGCTGTGTTATGTTAAAAGATATTTGATCGGACAACAGAAATATATCCTAAACAAAATCTTTTAATTTTTTATTCAATTCTTTACATCTTTTAATTGTACATCGTAATATAAAGATAATATTATGTAATTAATAAAGTATTACTGACCATAATCCTTTTAATTTGTCCGTTTTATCTTCTATGGTTTATAATATTTCAAATGGTTGCGTCTGTGTTTCATGTGGGCTTACAACATCTACAGACTAAAAACATTATTTATTAAAATTGTTTACCCAATTTAAGCAAGAAGATCAATAATAAGTCTAAGCTGGGGTGCCTGACTAGGAGATACCCCGAAACCCAACCAATACTCCAAAGCTTCTATTATCATACAATTATAAAAATCCCCTTCAATTAGCATATCTGTCAAATAAAAATAGAAGTAGATGAAAATCCGGCATTAGCAGAACCAATATCCCCTCAGGAATGTGTAGCACCTCTACCAATACCGCCAGTTTATATTTATAGAAAAAACAAAAGACCTGACGCCGCACAGTTGAGCGTCCGCCCGCAAAACGCGGGAAAAACCAAAATTTGGATTGAAGTAGTTGGCCAATTGAGTTGTAGAATCATTTCCAATCAGGATCACAAAGGCTTCTTCAAATAGATGAAACAAAGGGGAAATATAATTATTGAAAGTTGAGTAAGTTAGCAGAATAAAAAATAAACGTAAAAACTTACAAAATATTCAATATTCAAGAACACTATTACACAAATTGTTAATATTTTGATTGCGTTGTAAAATTATGTTTATTTACAACGAATTCAAAATATCTATTCTTCCACTAGTTTGTTTAGCATCTATATGTTAAGGACATTTTAAACTTTGGTATACTATTACGTGCAAGGATTAATTTATTTTCTTTTTTATTATTCTGAGATGTATGGAGAGAGAGAGATATATACAAATTTGGCTATTCGTTAGCTTTTTAAATAGAAGAACAATTAATACAACATCGCAAAATTCACAAAAAAGATGAAAATGGCGCGCAGCAGCACCGCCGACGGCAAATTAACATTAATGAAAATTAAAAATAAAAAATAGTTTTATTTAACTTCCTCTCGTATTGATAACAAATAATAAATTGTACGCATCGAAAACAAAAAAGTTTTTTTTTTCTTTTTTAAACATAATTTACACGCATTTCAATGTATGTTCATGTGCACACATGTACACGAGATCTACAGATTGAATATTTGTGAATCCAAAATACAACAAACATCAAAATGTAATAAAATAAACATGAAACTGCATGCAATATTTGATGACCGAAGCTCTAAAGACGTAAAATGATATAACTGATACCTGATTTTTGATAATGCTTTTAATCGAAAACAATTATTATGGAATAGTTATCGATTATTTAAAACCAACTTGATATGCGCGTGATATAGGCGGTCCTACTCTTATTAGGTTCTTATATTAGCATCTGACATCGACGCTTTTATACACACGAGAAAACGGACTGGGTTAAATATACTCAGCTCGTTGTCCTGATCAACATTATATATATGCCACCCCTCATTCTGCCTATTACATACCTTTTAATAAAACAAGTATACCCGAAATTCCCTTTTTCAATGGGTTCAGGGTATAACAGCGAGCGATTAGAACCATGAACCTTACTAATAACTTAGTAAATTAATAAAATGTTGAAATTACTTAAAGAACTTAAATAGTACAAATTAAGCATAACATTTAATTCAATTAACAGCAAAATCTAATCTGCCAAACTAAAAATAAACAACAACAAAATAACAGTAAAACATTAAAAAAAAACTTGTCTTTTCATAACTAATAAAACAAAAGCTACCTGACGCCATCTTTAAGCTGACGTAGATCTATTACGAACTTAGTTTTTACAAATCTATCTATCTTTCTATATATATATATATAGAATAGAATATATATATAGAAAGATAGATAGATATATATATATATATATATATGTATATATATATAAATATACACATAATATTTCATAAGTATGTATATAAAATAGAAGTTAAGATATGTTGTATTATGCTTAGATATATTTCTTAACAACTTTTTGCGTCTAAAAGTTGTTTAGATAAACGGATAAATATTGTTTTGCCTGTTTTACTTTGGCGTCATATATAAATTAATAACTGATGTTATATGTGGCCGACACTAATCAAAATTATATTGACATTTGTACTTGGAAAACAGGAACGCCTTAGTGGCCATGGTAGCTTGGGCCTTTCTAGTAGCAGCCCGGCTTATACAACTCATTCAGGTGGGCACTCGGGCCGGGGAGGTCCGACGTCCGGACACAGTGGACATAGTGGTACCCATGGGTCGGCAGCTACTATGCATCACCAATCACTGCAGTCTGATTTTCAGCCCCCGTATTTTCCACCACCATTTCATCACTCTGCTCAGAGCCCTCCCCAGCAACAGGTAAGTGCTCCAAATTTAGCGACGGACCAGTTGGACGTATCATTGCCAAAATAGTTTAGATATCTGGCTATTTGCAGAATCACGGACCGCTCGAGTACTTGGGCACGGATCCCTATGGACAGCCCCTTTCCTCATTGCACCACGCCCCACTTCATCACTACAACCAGTTGGCTGGCCTTAGGTCGACACAAGATCAACTGGGTATTCATAGAACTCATAGGGACGACTTACAAGGACATGTTGTAAGTATTAAGATTAACAAAACACTATTAGTTTAGTAAGACAAATAAAGAGTTATCCTTACGTCTCTATGTGTCGAAACTTAGAGAAACGCATCACAAATATTAAACGATAATTCATTTATGATTATCAAATAACTCAATTGTATTTCAAATGGCTTAGGAATTTCCGTTTTTTTTTATTAGCTTTTCATGCTTTATTGGAAGCACGATCTACTTATATTTTTAGGCAGCATTCTTGTTAGAACTTGGTAAATACTTCAGTTTCTTGCGTTTAAATGTACTGTAAGCTAAGCAGCTGAAATCTCCTCAATCTGCATAAATTGCCATAGTTATGGCATTTTGAATTCCATTTAAGTGCATTATGAAATACAAAACAAAAAAATGCTATGAAGTATTTAAAATATTTTCTTCGGATTTCACTGAAACATCTTGAAAATAACAACGAACATTCCTGGCCCGAAAGAAAAAGGGTTTACATAAATACGCATACACATAACCACGTATTTGTGTAAGTATGTATGTATGTGTGTATGCGTGCGGTGCACTCACACACTCGTACACTCGCACACTCGCACACTCTTGCGTGTCCTGAACGAACTTGGCTTTTGCAACCACGGCCGGGGCATTTACAATGTTGAAGTTGACGTTAACGCTGTAACTAAAAGGCGTTTCCCCCGTAGAGCTTGTGCGCATAAACGCATAAGGAGCAAGAATACATGACTGTCTAAACACTGGGATTGGCGCAGAATTCAGCTGTTCCCACCCTAGGCACGGCCAGGGGCATAGTCGACCGAAAATTTTGATCAACAATTTTAATTGATTTTATTTTACTATACAAAGTGCCGTTACATTTCAAGTCCAGGCAATTAAACGCCTTTTTATTTATGTCCATAGATTGCTTAACCAATCTCAACAAATTACAAATATTACATGCGTAAAATAATGTAATATTTATACAATAAAATACAAGTTCAAACTACATGAACAATTAAGTATTATAGCATATATAGAGTGGGTTTTGTATAAAAATATACCTAAGTAGTCCAAGTAATACAGGCAATACAGTGGGTTATTTTATAGCCATCATAGTCAAAGAGTATAAACTATGCAATATGACAAGATTCTTTATTAATTTAAATTTTATAGACTCAGCTATCTCACGGCTTTCCATACACGGAACGAAGAAGCGATTACGGCAGTGCAATATCAGCCGGAGCTGCACACGGAACCAGACTTGGACATGAACATGAATCTTTGGCCTTACATCAAGCGTTGCAGAATGCCGTTGATGATGTCCAAGCCCCTGCCCTGGATGAGAATGTTGCTTTCATGTCAGATTTACCCCTAATAAAAAGTAAGTCTGCATATGAAAATACTCATGGTTATTTACGAAATTTAGTGATGAGCACTTTATTTGTTGGTTAGAGTTTGATGGTAGAGTAAACAAGTGAAAGTGGTCTAGTCGGTACAGCCCCATCAGGAAATACCCTGAACCCTAGCTCATATTCCAATCATTCGAAGCTTCTTTTATACACATGTTCGAAACAACAAAGTACGAAGTCTGCTTATTGAACGGTTACGGAGCGTCTGCAGTTGGGCTTTACAATGGGAATTCAATTGTTGAATAATTTACGTTCAAATCTATTTACTTCAAGAAATTTGCCTAATGATATTTTCTAATAGCATCTAAATATATGTAGAATATAGGAAAATAGAAAAATCTAAATTGAATGCTTAAATCTTTTATGGTATTCAAGCCACGAAATCAAGTTATCGATATTTTTTGATAATGAGAAAATGCAATGAGGGTATAAACGATTATACATGTAAAAGATGTTCACCTTCAGCCTGTTACATTCATATTCATAAAATCATTATACCCTGAATTCCGATTTTCAATGGGTTAATACTAGAAACTCTACCTTCACTCTGCTCTGAGTTTCTCTTTTCAATAGTTCTACACGAACCAACCTATTTTTAGTCTTATAATATATTTTAAAAATACCTGTCATCTGCTCCAAATAATTGAATGTTTCCTCCTTGTTATACGAATTACTATTCTCGGTCACAAAATGTAAAGAGCGCTTTTCGTTTGTCTGTATGAACACAAAGCATTTTGGCACTATTGAAAAACATAACCTTGTGTGATAAAATTATTATCAATAATATTATTATTATGTTAAGAGATATGTTGGACTTAAAAACAGTGAGCTGATTATGACTTGTTGCCCTACGCTTATCCTAATGGCCCTCGAAAACTTACAGAATAAAAATAAAACAATCGGTCAATCTTCAATAGAACGAATCTTCAATAGAACGAGACAACTTTAGTCTCAGAATATATCTTCATTGTACAACACTGGAATTATTCCTCAAGTTTTGGATTTGACAATGAGTTTATTTAAACTGAACAGCTATTTTTGAAATAGAAATAGAAGCAGCTGCTGCTCTTAAATTAAGACTTTATATAAAGACTTTATTCAACGAGAACAGAATGTTAATATCATACTAAGAACCGACATTTAAATAAAGTTTCTGCCAATATACTACTAAAAATTAAAAATATGTATTCAGTTGTTTGGTAGATGAATATATATTATATTGAATTTCATATAAAAGAGAGCCTTCCTGTAGATTCAAAAATAGGCGGAGTATATTGGGCGGTGCCACAAACATTCGGAAACAGCTATGCACATCAACTTTCAACCCCTAAACTGAATAAATATTATGTATATAGATGGTGAAATTGAAGCTGGCTCCTCTAATTGGCAGGATTATTGTAAAATGATCCCTACACGCTGAGTTCACACTTCACTTGCAAAACATTAACACAATAAACTATTTCTTCTTTACAATGCGCAATGTACATTTCTACAGCATTCTATTCATACTTATGTTTTTTGTATTTAAAAAATCTACGTGCTTCCACACAGGCATGAAAAGTGGGAAGGAGGCTGGAAACCTGGGCTCTGGATCGCCCAGCGAGGTGTTTTGTGCAGTTCCGGGTCGACTTAGCCTTCTATCAAGCACATCAAAATATAAAGTCACAATTGCCGAGGTTCAACGTAGATTGTCACCGCCCGAATGCTTAAACGCGTCTTTACTTGGTGGTGTTTTAAGAAGGTGCGTTTTTCTACTGAATATTGGAATATTTTTTATTTTTATTAACAAATCGATATATTTTTAATAAAGAGCAAAGAGCAAAAATGGAGGCCGACTTTTAAGGGAAAAGCTTGAGAAGATTGGTCTTAACTTACCGGCCGGACGACGAAAAGCTGCTAACGTAACACTACTTACATCCTTAGTCGAGGGAGAGGCAACGCACCTGGCCAAAGACTTTCACTTTGTCTGCGAAACAGAATTTCCAGCCAGACAATTAGCCGAATACATTGTGCGACATCAAACAGAACCCCAGGACTCCTACCGGCGGAAAGAAATTATACTTCACTCACAACAAGTATGTAATTGAACAATCATCAAATGAAGTTTTAGTTTGCACTTATGAATGTTAGAAGACATTCAATAGTCACATTTTTATTTTTATCTATAACACACATATAACAAATGAAGAAGAATAAGTATGCAACATAATATACTTCAACATATATATTGATCAAAATCATCTTTGTGCAGTTTACGTAACATAAATATGTAAATTTAATACATAAATGTTATAAATGAATAAAACCTTCATAAAAATTGATAACAATTATATAATTTTTTTGGTCAAATGTATTTAACACAATGTTTGTTGTTAAGTCTGTTTGTAAGTACATATAGCTATTGACATGAACTGATATAAATGAACACAATATAACTTTATGTATTTGATTTTTTGATACCTCATTTATTTTTTTGGATATGGACTAAAATTAAAATTATGACCTGGCTTACTTAAGCAAACCTCGACGAACACTAAAGCTGCAGAGTAAAAACACACATTTGAAAAATATTTATATTTATTTTATATATAGAATTATGTATAGAATCTTGAGTTTGAGTATAAAGCAATATTGAAAATTTCGATCGTATATCCCGAAATATCCCGATTTCTAGGAATTGATATTCATGTTTTATACTTGGATGTACACCCATTTTCATTTGCCTTCTACGTATTTTGCTTAATCAAATGTATTATGGCTAATCAAAATGTATATAAATTTAAATATTATTTTCTAGATTACAAAAGAATTGATGCAAATATTGAGTCAGGATCGAACCACTCATTTTGGAACAAGATCACAGCATTTGTTGGAGCCTTCAATGCAACGGCACTTAACACATTTTTCTCTAATAACGCACGGATTCGGTTCTCCTGCAATTATTGCCGTGCTTCACGCTTTTCAGGTATCTATGTCTTACTATTTGACTTTCCGCATGAGTAAAATCTTTTTAAATCAATTTAAATTTTAAATTTGACTTCTTTATATAAGAGTCCCCCAGAGGCTTTACCCCAAACTGTCTTGGCTTAAAGCTAAGAGTCTATATCATATTATTGGTAGTTTATTAACTTCAATACAAATGTTCAATAACTTAAATAAATACTTCCATTTACAGACGTTTCTGAATGAATCGCTTAATTATTTGGAAAAATTATACCCTTCAAACGGAGGCGGAATGGTATCTTCATCTTTGGATAAAAGTAAACTTGACAACGATAAAAAATGATAGACTACACTGTAACAAAAAAGCAACTCGTATTTAAATAAAAAATTTTAATACAAAATTAGGTACAATATTTATTCTAATAAGTACTAAATTATTGTAAATGTATTTAGTTTAGTGTAAATTATTGAAAATTTGTAAAACCGTAATTTTAAAGTACGTATTAAATGGATATGTGCATAAACACGTATTATGGTATTATGATTTTCTTAAATTAGAAACGAAAAGAAAAATCAACGTGTTCCGTCAAAAGTCACCAAGGGTTTTACAACACTTTTATTATTATTCGGGTTTTACTTTTAAGTAATCAACTTTTTAAATATTTTAAAATTATACAATGAAATAAAATATGTTTTTAAAACAGTCAAACCTCTTTTTTTTTACCATATTTACGTAACGAGTTTAGGTTAACTGCATCAATTGGCATTAGAAAAAAAATAAACGATTTACAATATAACAAACTTAATATTTTTATTTTTACATATATATATTGATATTTGTATATGTCAGAAAAAAGTGAGGTTAACTAAGCTAGAGATTGGCAAAATTATTTGAAAAAGTTAAAAAAATAAAAATATGTTAAAAATAAAAACGTGACGTAGGCATATTATTTTTGGCCAGTCCTTAGAATGAGTCTACACTGACGTGACCGTCAAATTTGGGGCATGCACTGCAAAAATGTCGGAGTTACAGGGTATCATAATCTATGAAATGGATTTAAAATCTTTTCGAACTTGAGTTATTAAATTATATCACTCACATCCTTTAAGCAAGAGTATGAAAATTTTGTGTTCGATGCATGTATTTCTTACAAATTTTATTTATATTATACTCCATGTTTAATGATATATTTTGATAATTTACTAAAAACTGGTTCGCCAAATAAAGATAACAGGTGTAAAATTGGAAAAACTGTCACGTTGTTGTTGTTTACCTGGAATCAAATATCTTTTAATCAACTGGTGATATCTAAAATATTATTCAGTTGTGGCCAGGCTTGAAATATTTTTTCTATGCCTAACATTTAATTATTTGATTCTGATCTTATTTTTTTCTTATTATTCTAAGAATATTTAATTTGATCAAGTTTATATGATGATATATATGTGTCCATGAACATCATGTATAAATATTAATATTGGAAAACTGCGTAAGTGGATGGCTGTTATATTTTAAGCTTTTTGGAACTGCAGCCAAATAAATACTCGATAGAATTATAGAAATTATATAAAGCATTGCTATTTGGAGTATATATTGTTTGCTGTAGTTGTGAATCTGTGGAGTCCTGGCAAATCGCAATTGAGCTCGAAACTATAATAAAATGATTACTAAGTTACTGTTGACCTATTCTATTCTATCTATCTTGTAATTTCCACATTTTAAATAATCAAAAAACATTACGATTCGGTACAAACAGTTTCGCTTGAGATGGAATGAGTACTATGCGGTCGGTAGCGCCCGTATGCTTATGTTCTTACTGGTTTAGTGTTTTTGTCCAGATTTTGCTATTATCCAAATCTAATGTGTTGGGACTATTAAAGCAATATACTTGAAACGTCATCCATATATGTAAAAAAAATAAAGTTAAGTCTATAATAGGTTGACCCACAGAGGCGATGTTATTCTTTTATGTGTTAAGAGCGTGCCTGACGAAATGTTTTATTGTTTTTTAACTCAAAATTATTATCTTTGTAAGACCCAATACACCTTTTTAAGCTAAATAAATTGATTTGATGATTTGTTGTAGCCGAGTTAAGCATCTTCATGTATGGACAACTGAAATATTAAAAAAAGTATTTTCAATACATTTATTTACTGCTTCCGTTTTAGATAGTTTTCCATACAAACTTTAATATACGTTCTTAAAGAAAATCCAGATTAAAATCATTAGAATGATGTAAACGATAGCTTTAAGGATTTGATGCTGCCAATACAATCTGTCAAGCAAAAATACTGATAGTTTCTTGACAACTTATTAAAATAAATATAATAACGTGTTTACCGATTCCATTTAACTAATGCTTTGGGCATAGTTTCCAATGGATCCTTTAACAAATATTTGCGTATTCCACGAAAATATTGCTGAAGAAAAAAATCCCAATCTAATTGTTGCATATCAAAAAAGAATTCGTCCTTATCAACATTCGACATTCGACTCCAAAGGCTTTGAATATTATTAATACGAAAGTCCCAATCACGCGTTGAGAAATATGAAATCACATTCATGAACTTATGTATCTTTTTATAAGTGTTGAGTAGCCTGTAAATGAAAAACATATAATATTTGGGGAAGAGATTTGTATTCGTATTGATTATCGACCAAAATTGATTTAATATTTATATGTCACGATTTGCTCATAATGAGAATTTATAAATACATAAATATACATTGTAATTATTCAATATATATATACACACATACATACACATATACACATATGTACGCAATCAATATGGGGACTTTTAAGATATAGAATAAAACACGTATCGTACTATATTTTAAAGTTACTTTTATTGGGAAAAGTCTCAATTTAACTCAATATAACCTTTAGAACGATTACGCATAGACTGATTCATGCCATCGAAATGAATATTCTTTAACAGCTGTGCCACGGCTTCTCGAATGGCTCGAATAATCGTAATCTTTTCATGGCAGCTTTCAGCTTAATGAACAGAAAATAGTCGTATGGTTATAGGATCAGGAGAATACGGAGAATGGTTGATGACACAAATCGGTTTTATTCATAAAAAATTTACGAACTTTTTTGGTTTTGTGGATATTTAGGTCTAACACGAACAATTCTTGACCGCAAACGATGTAAAACTTATAAATAGTAAATTCCTTGTAAACAATACCCTTGGAATCATAGAAAGTGATCAACATTGTCTTGATTCTAGGCTTTTGAAAACGCTCTTTTTTGGTTACTTCACGACCATTTTTATGAACTTGTGAGCGTTCTCAACAATCATCACCATACACCCTTGCATTTGTACGATACAAGCACAAACTTTCATTATAAAGGGCGTAACTTTTGAACCTGTCAACCGATTTACATTAAATTGGTTGTGTTTGAAATCTTATCAACATTCAATAGATGACGTTACGTGTTCCATGATTAAAATAAAAATTATTTTTTGAACATACTGTGTATGTATATTTTAACTTACCTTGGTTTCTTTCCAATGCACAAGCAAATAATGTCAATGATAAGTGCAGGTAAATAATGGAGAAAACATATAGACAGCATATGGGTTGCCTTGTTAGTGCTATTCGAATAACATAGATACCAAACTGCTTTTGATGTTGGGTACATTAGTCCATATTTTGTAGTCTTTGTTGTAAATTCACCCCAAGTTAGCTGGTTGTCATTGGGTGTGCAAAAGTTGTAGACAGGGATGTCTGCCGAAGCTTTTCTAGCACTGCAGCGAGTGTTTTTGAATGGAAGAAAATCTTAGATTCATATATCAAGATAGATAATTTTAGTATCACAAAACATTACTTGTGTCTTTCATATATATCCCAGGAAGCAGCTATCATACTGTTTACACATAAGTCAACTGGAACCATGTTTGCTATGGCCTTTGGGTTGCAGCGTAATGTGCGTAACAACTATAAAAACATATTTACATTTATTATAAAACTAATAATAAATCAATTTAAAATCGTACCCCTGTGCCTGCCCCAGCTATTGCTCCAGTTGGCCCATAAAAGTTGTCTATCCAGCCACTCACTGGTTCTCGATAAGTGGATATTACTAGAAGAAAAAGAGTACCATAAGCATTTCATTCAGTTTGAAATCATCACTGTTTCAATTAATAATCAAATAAGACGCATACCAATGCCAGGACGAAATACGCCAACGGGGAGTTGCTCGCTGTAAATTTGAACAACGTCCTCAGCCACGGCTTTTGTAAAGGTATACGTATTTGGCCATTTCCCCAGTAGGCTGGAAAGAGATGCATTTTTTTATCTTTTATAGACCAACAAATTAAAAAATTAATGAATGTTACATGCATTTTCACAAAATCATTATACTCTGATTTCCCATTTTGAACGGGTCAGGGTATAAAAACCAAATATGATTTTAATGTAAGTGAAATTGAAATAAAACTTAAATTCATTTTGAAATAATGTAAAATGTAACAAATGTTGAAAAAATTGTTTAATTTTATAGTTTCTAATGTAATTACATGGGGGTTACGTGGTCCAAGAGCTTCTCGGGCATATACTCAGCCATTATCATTAGACCTTTAGCATTATTATGTGTCGAATATAACTTTTCGTCAATCGTTTTTCGAGGACAATGTGTATATGCCGTGGATACGTGGACAACACTTTTAAGATTTTTCATTTCTTTGCAAAGCTTCATTATATCATATGCACCATGAACATTTATTTTAAGAGCTGTTTTTAGTTTCTCATCAAATCGGACGGTCGCAGCCATGTGAAACACAATGTCGACATTGTCTATTAATAAATTGCGATCATTAACGTTTAATCCCAAGCCAGGTTTCAAACTGCAAATATAAAAGGATAATAAAAGCATAGAGCTTGAATTTCTTAACTATTTTTTCAATTTACCAATCGCCTGCAATTCCTTTTACGTAAAAGGTATATTTTGTAGAAAGTGTTTTAAGTATTTCAAACATCTAAAATGATTTTGATCACATAAAAAATATTTTCTAATGATAATGATTATATTTACCGGATCCGCAAACATTTCATCCACTCGAGTATCTACACTTTTGTTATTTTTACTACGCACAAGCAAATAAATTGTAGTTAAATTAGGGCACGACGTGAGTAACTTGTTTATTAAAACTAAAACAAAAATAAACTGAAACATATTATCACATCCACTCATTTCATAAATAACATTTACTTACTCTTTCCTAAAAATCCAGTTCCACCCGTAATCAATATATTCGATTTATTAAAAAACTTTTGTATATTTGATTGATCTTCCTCGTTTAAAATTGTTTCTGCATTCGGTTGATCCATTTTCTTTGCACAATAATAAAGAAAAATTAAATTTAGAAAATTAAATGATGTAACCACTCACATAACTCACATAACTAAAACTAGTTAGGCTTTGAAAGATTGTTAAATTATGTAACTTAAGGGCTCAAGGGGTTAATATATATTATCCAACCTACTCAATAATTGGGATAAGAAAAAAACTAACCATCTCTAAGCAACTGTTGCAACTCTTTTGCTGTGTTTTCAATCCTCAACAGTTTTTCATGTTTAACTCGTAAGGTTTCGTCACGCTTTTCACAACCATTTTCATATACTCTAAGAATCAAACTGAAAAAATGGTGTTAATTTTTTTTAACTAAGGAAAATCTGAGTATAGCTATCTCAGTTTAAATTTCAATATATATGCATATACTGGCTTATATTCAAAATTGATTACAGCTGAAATGCATAATTGTTAAATACAGATTAATGATTATAATTATGGTTCAAGTAAATTGAATTATTACTTAAATCGAAATCTGATACATTTTATGTAAATGTACTATAAAACGAGGAAAAAAATAATAAAAATAATAACAACTTCGTTTTTTAACATGCTTTAAATTTGTCAAAATTGTATTTGAATAAAATAAAATAGCTCAAACACTAAGACACAAAAATACAAATTCACAAATACGCGTCTTTCATTCATTTTCCATTAAAAATGATTATTTATATATTTAAAAAAATGGTAAATTAAAACTCGAGTTGAATGAATCCAAAAGGACGAGACGGCATATTTAATCAATTTTGCATTTGTTAAGTACAGATATATAAATTTAATTACTTACCTGCATATTAGTTACCTGTTATAGTAAAAGTACAGTATATCGAATTCGAACTGTCTGATGAACGTAAATATTATTTTTTGTTTTGTCATATTCACTCTGTTTACTTAATCACTTTCACTGAATGCTGCAAAAAACCTGATATGAACTGTGATACCAGAAACCATTGCACCGTAGCTACTGTGGACATGAAATGGTTGTTTTGCCACAAAATGAAAAAAACTATGCTTATTATATTTTTCTTATTATATTTATTTGTATAACATCGTTTTATTTAATTCGTCAGTCCTCACCCATTGAATAATGCTTAGCCAGAAAGGTAATATTAAGGTATTAAATTTTGAAAGACAATTTTTAGTAGCAAGCTTTGTACGATAAAAATTTTACTGTAAAATCACAAATTTCTACTGTGGACATACAGGGATCATCGACCTTCCACAAAAACCAATAGAGCTGTTTGTCTACAACTTATTAAACATATTGTAGAGGTTGCAGTTTTTAACGACTTAGGTCAGAACTTTTTGTCTCTTGTGTGAGCTAGAAGCATTATATATTATATTATCTATCATTATTTTTTTCAACAAGCTCGAATTAGGGGTGCCCGAATAAGAGATACCCTAAGTCACGATCAACAGATACTTAAAACAGAAAAAAACTATACATTTTTCATAAGTATCGACTTTAAAACTCGTCTACTGAATCATTTGAGTTGTGAACGTTCACAATATTAAAAAAAAAACCAAAAACCCAGCACCTTCAGAAATTTAACCCACAACCTTTACTAACACCGTAAATATCGATGAGTTTCTAGATCTCTCGTGAAGATTAAAACGGTAGATGGGACCGCTGAATACGATGCTGAATCAAAGCGCAGCAATGGGCTACGCTGGGGACCCGCTGACGCTATCGTCTCCTTTATCCTTCGATTATGTGCAGGTTGTTGCCGTTGGATAAGGATATAGTCAGATGGTTTAACGTTCATATGTGATGACTTAGATGTCAGTCATGTTGTCATCTTGCAGTTAAAAGGCCATGAATCTGTATGATATCTGTATGATGATAGCAAGTGTTAGTGTATGCGTTAAAATTCGAATATTGGTTAATATTTGTGGCTTTTAGCCCTAACGATGTCAATTATTTAATTTTTGCCCATACATCTCTAAATAACTTTACACATACATATCACTAACCAATAGTTTCACTTATGGGAAACCCAATCTATTTCAATTTTTCATTGTGGAACACCGTCTATTTAATAAGAAGATACGCACCCAGGGCTCCGTGGTCAGTTTGCCTCTCAAGCGTATTTTTTTGTGTGTCGTCAAAGTCGATAATAGTCTTTCAAAACATATGCATAATGGAGCAGTTTCCACCTTTCAGCATGTTCGTTAAAGGCTTTGCAATCGCTGCAACGTCTACAACGAAATATCTCGGCATGCAAAAAATTTATCTTAACCAACAATTTTTTCAGCTCCCAGTATCCTTAAATAGCTTTAACTTCAGGGTCGCTCTTTGCACCTACTTCGGATACTTTAAACCCTAAACCCTGGAAAGTTTTACAATAGCATAACTTACGGGTTTTAATACCAATTTATGCGTAACATGATCTCTTCATTTTCGGAGAAAATTGTAAAATTCACCGCACATATTATTTCATTTTTCAGTCCAAACAGTATTTGACATGGGTAGCCACAGCTTACGCAGAAATACATTTTTTATGGCACTGATCTTCAAGGCTAATTTGATAATAGCCAGATTGGCTAATATCAGGTTTTTCATTTGATGTTATGCCACGGTAGATCTTTGTCGTGTTTTTATACGAAATCAGAATATGTAGGGTTATCATCTACAGTTCGTACCATGGCCACAAAATAAATATTAAATGTCAGTGCCTCGTAAGAGAAAAAAAATGTCTTTGTCTTTGTTATGACCATATTCCTAAACTCGGATCTTATTCCCTCCTGAAAGTCAACACCCATGACATTGCTGATGAACCCAGAGAACTATGGCCGTTCTATTGTACCGGTATAGGTGGTGATTAAAAGCATGTTGTATTGTGTTGTGTACTCGGTGACGCCTCTTGCTTGACACACATCCGGACGAGCTCTGTAACTTCTGGGCCAGTACGTTTTTACGCTGCCTATACTGTTGGATCATTTGACATTGAATCGTCGTTTTACATCATTTAATTCACCAATTCCAAAAAATTATAAAAATTAAGCTTGCATAAGATATATGTATATTAAACGGTCAGGCCTGGACTCAGCTCGTCGACTTAATCTACAATTTATATACATTTAAAAAAAAAACCATCCTCCCTAATTTCCCCTTTTTAATGGGTTGAGGGCATAACAATTAATAAGCTTTTTAATTCTGTGTTCCTTTTTGTATTTTATTTATCTAAAACCGTTTCTTAGCGTCAACAAGGTTTATATTATAAATAAAATTGACATCAACCCTGCACTAACAAACGGGTTTCACAGCAACTAATTGCTAAGAGTTGCAGGTGATAAACTTTTTTGGTTTTACAATTTGTTTAATATAATGATTTGTCAATTTATAATGCAGCTTTAATATTTTATTATTGGAAGGAAATCTAGTTTTCTTATCTAACATTAATGGCTGAATTTTTACTTAAAATTGTTAATAATGTAAATACTTCTGTTGATAATTGGAGTAAAAACAAGTAGTCGGAGTGCCCGACTAGGACATACCCTGATCCCAGTCCTATCTGCGTTTATTAATATTTTCCGTACTTTGCATCGAGTGTAAAAAAAAAAAAAAAAAAAAAAAAATAAAAAACAACATTGCAACCGGAACACCACCACTTCACAATTAAAAAAATAAAAAAAAAAAACAATTAAAAATGTGCCATCGCCGCGAGGTTTGAACCCGAGGCCAATCGCTAACGGAGGCCGTCTGTACCAATGCAAATTTGAAATTAAGTAGCATCTAAGAATTCAGCACCATTTAATTAATAAAATATGATTGAACCAATGGATATATGAAGACGAAATGACAGTCACATATCATGGCTATATCCCAAGATACATTGTGTTGCCTCAGTCGAAGAGGATTTTACCTAAAATTTCTAATCGCTCAAAATATTTATTTATTCAAAAATTTTATTCAAAATCTAATTTTAATATTATGTTTTTGTTGAATGCCTCGAAATAAGTTAGAAAATAATGTAGGTATTTGGTTTTGGCTGTGATTTTGCTAGATATAAATAAGGTAGACTCCCTCATATTAAAAAAACAACTCAGAATTATTAAATATACACAATTTACATTGAACAACTTTCTGAATTACTTTGCCAAGAATTCTCGGGCCTGCAGACATTTTATTGTTATATTAAACATTTTAAGATATTGTCCACTAGCATATTTTTGTATCAAAGTTCGTTATCCCGTGGCACAAAAACCGGCGAAATGGCTCGTAAAAACTGGCTGTTAAACTCTTTTTCTGAAAACCTTTCAACAGATGACCTGAAATGTATAAAAATAAATTAGCTTGTTTTTTTGGTACTTAATAAAGAAGTACGTACCGCGCTGCATTTATAATATCCCTATTCGTTTTAGCAGGATTAATTATAATATTCATTATGCTAGCTGCATATTCAATTGCATGGGTTGCAAGAAATCCATTTTGGGAGCCTGCAGAAGTCTCGATAATATCAAGTAATGGACCACCTGATTCATGAGCAATCATAATTATACCAGCTGCCATGCATTCCACGATTCCAATTCCGAAGTGCTCATTACACATAGTGTGTATACCAATTGTTGCTCGTTTATATATATTCAAGAGCTCATCATATGAAACGTTTACTTTAAACTCCACGGAATTCTCAAGAGATAAATGCTTTGCAAGGTCTTCCATATTATGAAGCCTTTCGTAATCTTCTTCATGTCGGCAAGATCCTACTATAACAAGTTTTATTCGATTCCAGAGATCCTCATCTCTAATCAGCAATGTCCTTAGCTCATACAAAACTTGTAATTGCAATGGGTGATTTTTCTCAGGTCGAAACTGCCCTACAGACACTATTAGGATTTCCTCATTGTTTTCAATATGTTCCAGTTTCTTAAGGTGTTCAATCTCACATGGCGGATACACTCTATGAGTTTTTAATGGCACATTTAGCAGGTCTACGATATGGTTTTCAGTCCATGTTGAATTCACCATAATAGTTTCCGAGCAGCGGCTTACCCACTTATATGTCTACAAAAAAAATTTCTTTATGTAAATATCTATATACTCTGTGTTATAGATATTATACTCATTTTTTATAGTATTTTTTTTGCATGTCGCATATCCTAATTTACACGTCATCATAACGTGTTATCAGTATCAACGTTGATATCAGCGACTACTTGTATAAGATTTGTAACCAGGTATTATTACTTACCTTAGAAAGCAACCGATAATAGGTAAGCTTTAACCATGTAAGAAAGGGATTGCGGGCGACATAGGCTTTATTGTTGTAAGATGATTGACGATATTGCACCTTTTTTAGCATATCTGTGCTTATTAAAGGATAGTGAACATAGCATCCAATTCTACTACCAGCCAAGTAGCGAAAGACTGGAAACGTGTAGGCATATCCCATAGTATCAATAAAGATATCTGGTGGAAATTTGCAGATAGCTTCTAAGCCTAAGATAATCGATCCTAAACTCTGTCCCAGCAAAGTAAAGTGCGGATACTTTCTCGCTTCAACCCATTGTCGTTGTTTCAGATATACAAACGTAATCTTTTCAGTTTCGAGTGTTATGTTAAATACGTTTTTCGCCTTCTGCAGAATTGAGCTGGGCGTCGAATCAGTATCTCCTGTGTAAATGACTATCTTTACGTTATCATACTTGTTCTAAAGCGAAACGAAGTTCTATTATTATTACAGATAATGTTCATATATATATAAATATATATGCTAGCACCTGTAACGCCCTTACAGCACACCACAAGACGCGCTCGCCTCCACCGCCAGCGTTGCAATATGGATGGAATAAGCCAACATACAATTTATCTTCCGGCTGGGACCAATGTAACTTTTTTTTGTTCCGTAGAATCCATTGACGTAAGCAAAACAAAAATGTAGACGCGATACCTAGCAGCAATATACAGCACCAGAATCTGTTCCAAATCAAACTTTTATTAATAATGCAGTTTATTTTACACATATTTATAGTCTTACATCAAAATTATCACCATCTTATAGTTTTAATATTTGTAAAATTGAATTTTTTAATTTTACTCGGTACAGTATTGCCTTATCAGTGGAGTGCAGCAATGATTTTAAAACTCTGCATTAATAAACAATAACTAATTACAGGTGTCGTGTTCATAGTATTTTTATTTCAATTGTCTTGCGTTTTGTGGTTTAGAGTTATAAAAAATATCGAATTTTTAAAATTGTAGCTGGTTTGGTCTCAGGTACTCGATATTGTACGATGTTTTGGCGATGAGTACGATATTTAAGAATCGTTACTGCACCTTAATATTAGGAATATTTCCGCATTAATTTAGGTGTGACCTACAAAACAAATTATTAAATATACTATGGTTGTCGTTCTGAAGATAAAGATATTTGACTGGAATATATTGCACTGTCACTATCAACGTATGTAAGATTAGCAAGAACTCATGGTAATCGAGAATCATTTCAATTAAATATTAGCTACATTTTTAAAACAAGTAGCTATTAAATAATAACAAAGCAAAGATATTAATTTAACTCTGAACGATATTATTAAACAGTAAATAATACATTAATACATAACGATTATTTAAAGAAATATAAATATATAATATATATATTTATACTGTTTTTTTTTCAACTTTTTCAATAAATAAACATATTGTATTTATTTTTTTAATTTATTGTGAATTAGTTATCAAAATTGCTATATATGCATAGTAATATTAATTCAAAAGGTTGGTTTATTTTTAACACTTACATTTTCATTTACATCACGGGAATGCCCTTATTAGTGTTTTTATACTTTTACCATCACTAAAAATTATTAACAATAACAACGTAAATATGGAATACGTTCGTTCTGTATTGGATTGTTTAGCATCTATTTGTAGTTGTTGGCACTGCTCGGACGACCTAGGCAGTCAAGTAAGAATATAGTTATATATGCTTAATTATCATAGTTAATTAAATTTTTTATAGGGTATTGAACCCAGCGAGAGGACGCATCTTCTGGCTGATTCTGTAAATCAAAGTCCAGCTTTGCGGCGAAGTAACTCAGCTGATTTAAGCAATGATTATTCTCAATCGCTGCCAAAGAAGGATGATCAAAATGCCTTATCTAGATTGGTGCAAAATACTGCAATGTAAGTAGAAAAAAATATCTATATATGGTTATATTATTTATGTGTTTGTTGACATATTTATTTAATTTTATTTTATATTGAATGCTTTAGCAACATGATCAATGTGGGGGCGCTGGATTCTCACACCTTGGAACATCAGGAGTATACAGACAGAATTAAATTATACTCACAGCGTCTCCAACAGCAATGGAATAACATTCAACACCCTGGTGTTGTACAAAAAGGTTTGACATTACAATTTATTTGTGCATAACAAAAATGTTATAGGCATATAAAAATATTAACATTAAGATTGGCCTTAAATAGTAAGCTTGATAGTGGTGAATTAAAGTTATTTGTTTATTGTTTCTACATTCCCTTATTTATCAGCGACATATATATATATGTAGTTCTCAAAACCGACCCCCATATAATTTTGACTTAGCATTTAACTTATATTTATCGCATTACCAGTAAATTGCGAAAAAAGTAATAAATTTCCTATTCCATGCGTGATATTCTAATTTAAGTTAATGTAATAGAAGATAATTATGTTTACAATTACTTACGTTTTGCAAAATCTAATCAAATTTCACTTTCAGAAAATGAATAAGTTTTAAGTTAAATAAGCTAAGTATCCTTTAATCAAATACGATTAGCAGACACTATCTAAGATAATGACAAGTTTATTTATTTATGAAATACATTGTTTTTTAATATTATTTACATGTTATTTATTTTTAGGTCTTTTAAAGGATGTTCCTAACCATCAGTCTTATTTATCAAAAGCTATATATTCAGATGATACTGTTCAGGTTAGTGAGTCATTCATTCTCTCAATCTCAATCATCTCATTATATATAAAAATGTAAGACGCTGTGGTAGGAGAGACTCTGTTCAGATATGGTATTTATAGCAAACAACATATGCGTACGCATATGCACATGGACGTATAGGCACGTGCTGCTTACTGCTAAGTTCACACGGCGGCTGCGTTTCTGCAGCAGTATGGCCGTTACTAAGGGAAATGTATTGCCAAATAACTAACCAAAATGCACTTGCCTTATGAAAATTTGTATAAGTAAAGAAAGTATATAAGTTTCAACTCGTGCTTTTGTGGATTATGAGATCGCTGCTTTCATACGGGCGAACGGACGCACGATAGATCGATTTATCTCATATTCCTGATCTAGAATTAGTTTATTTTATGTCACTCCTTCATCTGCCTATAACACACATTTAAAGAAACCTTACACAAATAAATAAGTCTTTATCACCAGAATCTCCTTTATTTTGACCTATTTGTTCCAGACGACGTGATCCGTAAATATTTTGAATATATATCTTACATTTTTAGATATTTTGCAACCCTGTCTGAAATTTAAAATCTTTTTATTCCTCTTCAATTTACCGATTTTGTATATACGAATTCATAATAATTTAATTACTTTTATGTTTATTGAATGATAAGTTTAAAACTATTTTTTCTTGTTTTCAGATGCGAATATTTATACAAAAATCCCACGCCGGTGTATTAGGCATACAAATCGATCACAGAGAAGCGGTTGTGGTTCCATTTGAAATCCCTTAAAAATAAATAACAAAACGTAATGTTAAAATGTATTGTTATGTTAAAAATATAAATATTACTACATTCAACTTATTATGTTGTGGATTATAATGGATTATTTTTGAAAAAGGATAGGCGATTGCGTGATTTTATCATAGTTCCAAACTTGATATTATTAACCACTCAAACCTTTCCAATCTGGCAAGGTCATAAATATCACCCTTTTGTATGAAATATACCCCAGTTTGAATGAATGAACAGATCACTATTGCTGTGTCAATATATTTTGTAAAATATATATTTTGTATATGTAAAATATATATTAGTTAAAAACAGCTTTTGCTTAAAATAAATTTTAAGTTTCGTACTAATTTCTGGAAAAAACGCAATTTAAAGATGTCCTTCGATTTGAATCATAAGTACTGGATTTCTACTTCTAAAGAAATCAGTCAATTGATAAAAAAACAAAATCGATTAAAGAAAATTGAACCCCCGGAGCAAAAATCAGTTTCATTCAAAATATTCTCTGAGCTATATATATTATATGTTGAACTTGTCAATAAATTAACTTTTATTTATTTAAACACATTTCAAGTGCAAAAAAGAGATGTGGTCAGAAAGCTGGTTGAAAGTGCAACTCAGCAACTCGTGTTGCTCAAAGATGAGCTGAAAGAAATGGAGTTAAGCGAATACATTTATATGGACAAACTGTTAATTGCACGAAAATTGACTCCATACGATTTGATGATTTGGAGATCTCCGCAATTTCTATATCGTCGTCCATTAGACATTCAAAATATTCTATCAGAAAATAAGCTTTACATGAATGATCAAGAGAAAGAGCAAAGCGATGCATTAAGCTGGAGTAAAGTAAGCGATGCAGTGGCGCTTATACAAGCCCATGAGCGAGCCCGAAGTGCTCGTGTTTACAAGTCGAATATCAATTATGATAAGAAATTCTTGGAGGTCAAGCAGAGAGCAAAGGTTAACTATCGGTTTACCTTCAAGCCAAACCAGCCTATGAGTATTCCTGTTAAAAGAACTATATTCACAGCGGACTTCATTAAAACTGACGAATCTTGTAAAGAATTACGAGATAAAATCGATAATTTAACAGGCCATGTAACAGGTAATTATCTTATGATCGATTATGTTGCGCTATCTTTTGACTGCTACAAATCCAAAGCAGTGCATTAATGTTATGGTTGATATTTTAAGAACAACAACAGTTTTATAGACTAGACCCTAGAAGTCGCCCACACCTTACTCTTATTAATATATGCATTTTCACCCAAATATTCACTGTTCAACCATTTTCTACCGATATCCAAATTTACGTCATATCTTGCTCCCATAAAGCAGGGATTTTTGAATACATTACCAACATTTTTTTAAACGTTAACTGCACGAATTAATAAACCGATCAATTTAAATTTTAGAAAATAGTACGGACGATTCGAATGAAATTCGCAATCGAGCAGCGAGTTTAATTCAATCTTGGTGGAGAGCTTATAAAACAAAAAAAATTTATAAAATTAAAAAACAATTTAAACGAGAGTTGTTGGGCATACGAAAAATACGACAACTAAAAAGACCAAACCAGTTTGCTAACTCGGTTCTTGAGATGTATAAAAATGAACAGAAAAAAAAAAAACTTGACGAAGAATTTAAACAACTTATTATGGACGAACGGACGCGATTGCTTCAAGTTCGGAGCCCCTGGATGATGGAAGACATTTCTGATCATATTCGCGGTTGGTTTAAAGAATTGTAAGTAGTGATGAATCTCCAAAAAAAAAAATATTTCTTTTAGTTTATTTATAACATATAATGTAGATTTTTTATTCTTATCCCTCGAAAATTGGACCAATCTTTATATTAATAATAATACCCTTAAATTTTAAACATATTCCGAAAATAATACGACGGAAATTAGATATATATCAGTAATAAGATACCGGATCCAAGTCTAGCAATTAAATATAAATCGAATAACATCAAAGTTTTTTTTTAAAACACATCATATTGCTTATACCAATCAAAGTTTGGATCAGAGTATCTCATTGTGACTTCCTTTTTATTCACAGCTACACAGCAACTGAGAATTTTCACCCGTACCCTGATCCAGTTAAGAACGGAACTGTGTTGGTTGTCATTGATGAAACAATGAGTATAGGCGATTTTCAGGAGAGTCTAACCAAAAAACCATTGTCAAAGGAAGAAAAGCAAAAACTAAAAAGTAAATTAAGAATGGAAAAGAGGAAAATTAAAGCGAAAATTAAAAATCAAAAAATGAAAGAGGCTAAACGTAGAAAGAAGTTGAGAGATTTAGGAATATTTGATGTTGGTTATACATTATCAACAAGCAAGCCAATAGGTATGTGGATAACGTTAAATAAATGAAGAGATCAGGTACGCCTGAGCCTTGACACAGTTTAGTATATTGCCTCAAACTCAACGTACTTATTTATTTATTTTGTAATATATATTAAGTTATTGAGGAACTTATAAAATTACCTTATAACTTGAAGCACGTGGCCAGCAGCGCTAAGCGTGCGCATTTGCTCCGTATTTGTACACGTATTGCAGAGATGATGCGAATAACATGCTATTTGGTTGTGGAAGTGCATGTTCCAAAATGGTTTTTATTATATATTATTTACTTCAAAATACTGATCTGTCGAAGATCAGGGTATTTCCGTCTAGAGCTATTTCACTTGTTTTAAATCTAATAATTTTTAATAGAAAACATTGAAGAGACAATGAAGCAATTTGCAATTGATTGGCGAAACGTTGATGAATATCTAAATAAGAATCACGATCCAATTAAAGCCTGGGTAACTGAGAAAGAATTAGATGTAATACATCACGAATTGCGAGAATTGGTAGACGAGTATATGCGGTAAGTATAAACCCCTTTTATATTCCAAAAAAATGTTTAAGTTTAAAAATATTTGAATAGTTTTGAAGATTGTAATGGTATTACATATCTATGTCAGGATTTTGTCCCATTTCTCGCCGGTTATATTTTAGTAGTAAAAAATTTGGTGTTTACATAAATATTATTGGATAAAAATTTAAAATCAACGTGCCCTATGAGAAATACTTTTTCCTCTGTGGGACTTCCAAATCACTTCTGTCGAAATTTTTAACTACTTTATTAAAAAAGTTATATTTGTGTACCCTACAAGTTTATGCTTATTTCGTTATATAACTCTTCCCATATCCTTATTATTGATGAACCTACAGAATTCGGTTAATTCATTAAAAAGGTTTTAGTGAGAAGTACACAGTTTTCGTATATATTAAATATATAAATCAAATTACTTTTAGTTTTTAATTAATTGATTAATACACTATATGTTCAGGCATGAACATACAGCCACTTGCAGGGAGTGCAATAGGAATAGCTCAAATTACATGCTTGATAAGCTAGATTTAAGACATGAAATACGTTTGAGTCAGAGTGTAAGAACTCGAGCTCAGACGAATGAAGATTATTACATAACTGAACGCCACCACGGTCAAGTGGTCCCTCGAGCCGGAGAATACAAGACTAAATAACATCATAGTCAACTGTAATCGCACTATATCATTGGTTGAAGATATTTATTAACAGTTGATTATATTTTAATCCTTTTTCAATTTTCCAATTTGTCTTATTATTAATAAATAAATGGTAAAGATAATTATCTTTTCACGAATTCACGAATGGAACGAGTATCCATTCCATAGGCAATTTTCTTTGGATAGTTAAAACATTAAAAGTGTTGATATAGATATTGTCAAAAATTGATATTGTTGAAAAATGTAATTTATTGTGCAATAGTTTAAAAAAATTGTAATTTTATAAACTTTTTGCTGTTTTTGAGCCATGAACGAGTATTATATAGTAAACAGGATTCAATTGCATTTTTATAGATTAATATTTTTATATTTGTTCTAGTGTTGAATATGAACTGCTAAGAGAGGCTTTAGCTGCGGATAATAATCAGCCCTATAAAGCGTTAAAGGTAAAAAAGAAGAAGAAAAAGAAGGGCAGAAAGAAGAAAAAAGTTGTGGATCCGACAGGAGATAGAACACTCAGCTCATTGTATCACGAACTCAAGGATGCATCTGTAATTGAGGAAATTTCCCATAAAGACTTCAACGAATTCATTGCTGACTTTAATTTTATTGCTGATGATACAAGAGATGAAGACAATTTGACGTAAGACTTTCTTGCAATGATAATTACAAAATTTTAATTTGTTCAGCCCAGATTACTGTATGTTTTTATACCCTAATCCCATTGAAAATGGTAAATCAGGGTATAAGCTTTGTAAGTCCGTGTATAGCACGCGCATATCAAGTTTGTTTCAAATATTCGATAACTATTTCCATTTAATTGTTTTCGAATAAAAACATGATTGAAATGCAGTTAATACAATATATCTCGTACGTCTTAAGAGCTAGAGCCTCCAAATTTTGTATTTAGTTTTTCGTATTTTTTATACAATTTTGATTTTTGTTGGATTTTGGATACCGGCTCCAAATTTCCCCAAATTCTTTAAATTTAAGTTCAGTTGGAAATTGAGACATCATGTGAAAGCGTTTCTTCACCAAGCCAATCTCCAAGAGCCAATATATAGATCATATGCTGAAGTTCCATTAAAATCCAATAAGTAAAACAAAAGTTATTAAACAAAACGTTTGGCCAATTTGCATAAGCACATGTCAAGCAGCGCCAAGCACATATTTATTCAAATGCGTGTATTCTTTTCTATTCGAAGAATCGAAATTGTGATTGAATTGTGGTGAATTATCAGCTGCTACTTAACTTCAAGTTTGCAACTTATTACGTAAGCAGTGCATTGGCGGTGTTGGTAGATGCGACACCCATAAGCAACAATCTCAGTTTTCGAGCCTGACGGCGAAGGGATGTTTTTTATTTATTTTTTATTTTTTTATTTATGAAGTGGCGATGTTGGTAGAGTTAATGCGTGTTGCGTAAACAATGTGGATTCGAATCTTGGTGTCGTAATACCGATTTTTATTTGCTTTGATACAAACTACGGAATCAATAATTATTTAATTTTGTAATAATTCATATTATTAACCTTACTTCAATTAGTGCCGATAAAGATTTAGCTACCAATAGCATGACAACATTATGATACAAAGATTCTCGAATTTTTATACACAAACAAATTTTAATTTTAACTTCACATCCTGTTAATTCTAGAACTGTTGGCGCTGCAAAGGGAGATATTAAAATGGTTGTTCAGGAAAGTATGCTTGGAATGAGCGAGTTTGATATAGACAAACCCAAATCAATTTTACTCGTTGGTCCACTCAATAGTGGGAAAAAGTTGCTCTGCAATATAATTGCATCAGAGTTGGGTATGAGCCCTTAGCTATAAACATAATTAGACTATTTTTTATATATAAGTATTATTACAGATGCTGTTTTTATAAATCTTAGTCCAGAAAAAGTGTGCAATTACTCGAAAGACATGAACATGTTCATACATATTGTCATGAAAGTAGCTCGAGAATTTCAGCCAGCAATATTATTTATTGAAGAAGCTCATCGGGTATTTTATAAAAAGGTTCCATCGGAGGAAAAATATATGTCACCAACACTACTCGCTCCGTATATTCAAAAGAAAATCTTAAAGCCAATTAAAAAGACTGATAAAATTGTACTTCTCGGTACAACAAGTTTACCTTGGCTGGCCAAGCCGCTCCTTAAGAAAACTTTCCAAAAAATCTTACTTATTCCGAAATGCGACTATGGTACTTGCTTTTTGCTTTGGTTGGATTTGATGACCGAAAATGCACCAGATGCTCTAGAGAACTACGCTTATTCTGCATTGGCAAAAATTATGAAAGCATATAATTCTGGTGATACATCTAACAGTATAGCTAATACATTGAGTGTGTCTCGAAAAATGCGTCTCAAAGCTGAAGCATTGAACCCAGAGGAATTTTTGGAATACTTCTTGACGGAAATGGATCCTCCACTTTTCCCACTGGAGGATAAGGTATGCATAAACAGAAACATTTAATAATATTAGTTTTTCAAAACAAAACGTGGTGTATATACAATATCAATGCTTATGGATTCTCCTAAAATTAAATTTTAATTGAATTGATCAAGCCTAGAGGTAGTTTCAGACATGTTATTTCAAAGATTTTCATTAAATAACTTATTTTGGTATATGAGATTCTTCTTTTCAATATTATATATATTCTGATGTGTACATGTGAGACAAATCCAGAGAAATAGGGAAAGTTATTGTAAAAAATGTATATAATTATTTTGAGAAAAAAATAAATATCTTACTAAGATATTATAAAAATATAATTTATAATAGATACATATTTTAATTAATATAACAATTTTAAAAAGTGACTTAATTTATTTCTTTTTTAGATAATGGATAAATTCAAAAAATGGTTTGGAGGCTCAAATAAGTTCGAAAAGATGAGAAGGGCTGCAATGGCTTTGAAAATGGCAAAGCAAAAAAAGAAATAATCTTTATTTAAAACGAGTCATTATTTTAAAATCGAATGTGAAAATGTAAATCCTTCGAAAATGTAGTAAATTAAACAATGTTAAAAATAAAATCATCTTTTTAAGATAGGAAAATTAATTCCGCTATGGAATTTATAAGTTCAGTTAGCACATTTCAATTAGATACATTTGGTAAACTTTTGTTATTGATATATAATATAATCAAACAAAAACAATATAATCAAACCTTTTGGTATTAACAAAACAGAGCATGGAATTTACTTGTTAAAATGATATGAGTTTTATTTATCAAACATTTACATTGATATTATTCTAGCAATTGTATTTAATGGTTGTTTTTCTTGTTTTTTTATGTGTTTTGGGTATTTATTCTCTAGTATAAGTAAATTTATTTATTTTATGTGCCTTAATTAGTTAATATAAGCTAAAACTAAAAATTAATTAACTTTATAAATATTTTGTGTGAATATCTATCGTTTTATTGACTTACAGCTATTCGGTGAATTCTAATCAAATTAATTTATTGTAAATATTTCATAAACAAACGGATCATTTTCAGCTAGTAAGTAAATAGTTCCCTTATATAATACATTTTATTGCTATTTATATTATTATTCTTATGTTTATTTACTGCATAATTTACATTCAGAAGAATGTCAAGTTCAGACTATAGTTAAACCAAACTTACAAATTCCATGGAAATTATGAAGAAAATTAAGTTTAGGTTTGCTGATAACCTATCTCTCTTTTCTAGGCCAATGAGCTATGCTTAAATGGATAATGCTTATCTAAATAATCTTTTTATTTACCCAACTATTCTTTAAGATTATTAAAATTGTATTCAAATATGTTATTAAGAAGGTTTTTGCAAGTAGCCTTTCTTATATACGTATAGCCCATAGATAAGCTTAAAATTGTGTATCGTTCGCTGTTAAAAAGAGGAATACTCTTCACATCATTTGTATTTCTATATATTTTCATTTTTCCTGATAGCGTCTATCAAATATGTATGTGTAAGTTGAACATTAAAGATTCGGAAATAAAATAATAACAGTATTATTCAGAGCTTTCCTTATGTTGAATTGGGTTAACAGCAAAAATGATAACAAAATATAACTAATAGATAATATGATAATGTGGCGAAAACATATAACATATATAAACAATAACGCAAATAATATCATAAATCTGAAAAATTTATATTTTGCTGTTTTTTAAAAACTATTTTTGTCCCGTTCTTAATATCACTAACTTACATTTTGTTTTAAGCAGTTGTAAAACAACGCCAATTCTAGTTGTGATGTACTTTTCTTTAACTATTGACATTCATAAAAAGGAAATACAAATTATTTAAATATTAATTTTACAAATGAAAAACGATTAGTTTATTTTCGTGGACTTTCAATTGGCCAAGTAAGTGGCCCTGACATACCTATCCAAGAAATTTACGTTTAGGAATACTAATTTGATTTTTTTTGCCACATTATTAAGCCAATAAACGTAAATGTTTTACTTTTTTACAGTACGTTTTAATAATTAAATAATAATTTCTTGTTATACAATTTTATTCTTTTCATAAAATATAATTTTTTAAAAGCCCTAGTATAACGTTTTCTAGAAAATTTCAAATAAGACTTAAACGCCAACGCCAAATCCACTCCACTTCAATTTTTGGATAAATTTACTATTTATATTATATTTTACACATATTAGTATGAAAAGCCCATAACACTTAAGTGCATATATATATTTATATATCCACTTTAAGGTAGTGGTCTTTTTACAAAGCTTTTATAACTGGATCAATTACATTACAGTACGTTCATTTCTTCTACATATTATGAAATACATTTTTATGAAACAGGTAACGGTGCTGACTGCCCGTTCTGGAGACACCTTGAACCCTGCGAAAAGCTGATATTCCAATAATTTTCACTAAGCCGTTATACCCTACCTGGATTTCCGGGTTCAGAGTATACCATTCTTTTCAAAAATTAAAACATTTAAATTAATTTTGACTAAAAAGCTGATAATTAAATAAAAATTGATTGAAATACATGAAAACCATTTTAATTTTAAAATTTCAATTTCAATTCAAATCAAAATTAAACAATGTTCAAATCAAATATGACAGCATGTCAAAAATATGACAATCTTAATTCAAAATAATGTGTACCAACTCAAAATAAATGATATTTTTCACTGTGATAATCATAGCACAGGACAATAGGATCAAGTAACCAAGGATCGGTATTTCAGTGAAAAATAAATCATTTTAAAAAATTTGAGGTGTTAATAGGAATGAAGAAGTGCTTTTTAAAAAAATAACGGCATGTTTCCAAGGAAGAAGGTTCTAGTCGGGGAAGCCCGACTAGCAGATACCATGAACCCTAGCCTAACTAACCAAGCGTTTTTATTAATCATTTTTGAGCTACATAACGGACTTTAATTACATTTTGCTGCACATAATCCTCATATTCTATTGAGTGATTGTCCGTTTTAGCAAAAGTGCACTTAAATGAAGTGAACTTAAATTAAAAAATGTGAAATTTGAAATGTGAAATTTGGAACCAATGCCCAAAATATAACAAAAATTGTGTATGAAACCATAATCGGTATATTCTATTGAGTGTTTTTCCGTTTTAGCAAAAGCGCACTTAAATGAAGTGAACTTAAATTAAAAAATGTGATGTTTGAAATGTGAAATTAGGAACCAATGCCGAAAATATAACAAAAATTCTGTATGAAACCAAATGTAAAATTTGAAGACTAATCAGTATTATTAAAACGGAAATAGTCATCGATTATTTTAAACTAACTTAATCTGCACATGCTATAAGACCTCTATCTTTTATAGGTTTTAAGACAGACTAATGGAGCTAAATCGACTGTCGATTACCCACATTTTAACAAAACCATTATAGCCTGAATTCGCACATTCAATGGGTTCCCGGTATGAAAATATAGCCTGATTCTTGGTTACTAAAAAGCCTTAATTTATGTCTTTATAATTATTAATATTTGTATTTTTAATGTTTTGTAGCTTTGTAATATTTCGGGCCTGTATGAAATTATTTACATTATGATTTTGGGCTTTTCGTTGAAATGGATATTTTTATAATATTAGTCAATTATTTAAAAAAGCTATTATTAGCTCCTCTCAAGGACGATTTTTCATTATTTTGATATCATTACGTAGTAAAAACAGTGAATACTGTAGAAATTCCAATATGAGATATTTATTTAACTTAATGTCTTTCGGGATTCCTTTAGATCTATCCCATATATTTTTGCAGGCCATCTCTAAATTTTTGTCTATGCTAATTTGAATATTTATATCGTATTGTGTGTTATATGACATAATATTTTATATCATCACGTATATAGTAATGTTCTCACAGTACTAGAAAACTCTAGAACTTACATTAAAATCATATATTATATACAGTTGCGTTTTATTAAACAAAGACCTAATATTTTTGATGCCGACAGATTTGTACAGAACTACAATTAATTTAACAGATGCAGAATATGTGGTCTTATCACTTCCGTAAAAGTTACACAAAAAATCTAAATTATTTTAAAGTATGTGGTAAACGGTTGAAATCTTTAAGTTATTTCGAAAGTCAAATAAGTATAGCCAATTCTCTCGGGTTTTTAAGAACTAGAACATTTTTCCATTGGCCATTTGAAGTATTTGTCAAATATATAAATAAAAAAAATTTTGTTTATTGTGTCAGATAGAAGAAAATCTTTGTATTGAATTTTTAATTTATAATTTCAAAATCAAAAGCGTTGAGTTTACATGAGCTTTAAAATTATTTAAATAAATACATCTAACTTTTCACATATACAACGTGATAAACAATGTTCAGAATAAAGCTTCTCGACTATAGAATTTCTAATAGGCAAATAAACTTTTCCCTAAAAGTAATTTCAATGTTCATAAAAAAAATTCATTATAATTTACGTTATAAAAACAGGAAAAGTTTTATAAGTTTATTTTTTAACTATAATTTTAATGGTTCATAGAGTTCGTAAATAAGAGCGTCACTGTGATGCCTGTCGAGGGTATCGCTTATGGCTGATTTAAGTCTATATACCTATATACCAGTGGGATAAAAATACTCGCTCACAAAGTAAAAAAGGTATATTCCTTTTCCTGCAATATCCGTTTGAAGAAACAGAGTCGGTTTCGTATCGATTTTAAGATTAATTTTTGGATAAATTTTACTGTTTTTTGGACTGTGAACGAATATGACAAAGTCGGTAGAGACCGACTGCAACATTCTTGCTTATATTTACGTCATTGTTGATAACATTATTAATATGTTATTATTAAAATGATTGAATAAATATTTTAATGCTATTACATTTAGAACATTTAATAACATGGTAATACTTATGATTTCTTATTCAAAACAAAAAGTGATGATGATATAGTAATAACCAATATAATATAAATTACATATATTTAAATTGCTATATATATACATAGGTTTATACTCTATTTTTTGCGATATTTTTGACTTAATATAAGAAACTAAGTTAGAATCATTAATACTCTAACAATTTAAATGTGTTACTGTATACATCTCTTATACCAACATAACTTTTAATATCTACTAAAGTTTATAAATATGTACAATTCTAAATACATAGTAAGGCACCTTTGAACTTAATTTTTTTTTAACATAACTGAATATTTTTAAATAATAATCTTAACCGATACACTTAAAATAATGTAAGGTAAAAGTAATAGGACCATGGCGATTTCTAATCGATTACAACTTGAAATTCCCATTTTGTATTCCATATCGATGTCGAGAAGAAGATCATGATTTCGAGTATAAAATTGATGAATGTCGCTTATCTAAATAATGAAAAACAAATTTAGTTATTAAAAATTACTTTGGCTATTTCTGTAATTGAATTGTTTGTCCACCCATAAAATATATATATTTATGATCCCCTTAAAGACAGAAATGTAAAGCTTGTTCATTAACCTCATTCCATCCATATTTATTTTTAGCTTGCACTATTGCCTCATAGACAGCATTATGTTCCAAGTTGCGTACAACGTATGACATTAAATAGTGTGTGCTGTCAGTCCGGATCGGAATTGGCTTTATGTGATATTCGTGCCATTTACCAGGATGCTGGTAAGTTTCGTTCATCTAAAATTGTCAACCAAATTTGATTACGAACATATGTTTGGCTTGGATTATTTTTGTAATTAGTACTTACAAGCAGCCTTCGATATAATAATTTAATTTCATCTAGGGGTGGTATCGACTCTATTGTCCAAGTCAAGTTATAATGATCTAGAAAACCACTTAAGGCTGGTGAGATAAAATCGGCTGGACCCGGTCTTCCAGAAACCTCAATGTATTTCTTCGTACGCCCTAGCGCATTGTCGGCAACACAGCTATAGTTCCCAAAATCAGTTTGTTGAAAATTTCGGATAATAAGACTGTATCTATCATCATGAGGATACATCGAGCGTCGATCAGTTGGATCCAATAGGAACGAGTTCTGGTACCACAGCATCTATTTCCGTAAAAAAAATTAATCATTTCGTATTTCCTTTTATTATAATGTGAAAGTTTAACTTACTTCAGAATTTACATCCCCATGAACAACACATACAAGCTCTATGTCGTATCCTTCTGCGGCGTGAACCCATGCTTTCTCCACAGTAATTTCCGGAGGAGCTACAATTTAAAAAGTTTATAAAATAATACAGAAAACCTATGTGTGATTCGAATCATTGTTGCTAGATCTGAGTTTGCAGATATATCTGTATATCTTCTAAGCTGTTACCTTCAGTGACCCACTGAACTCAACAGTTCGGACTACAAATTGCATTTTGTAGAAATATACATAGAATTAGACTTACATAAAATTGTTAGCTGAATATCCATTGATACTCGTTCTTTAACACCATTGTCGGCAGAACATTGATATGTGCCTGCATGATGTCTATCGACATTTTCTAAAATCAAGGTAGAGCTGTCTGACAAATGGGTTGGTCCAGAGTAAACGTCTTTTTTGAACCAGTATATTGTTGGGACTGGATTGCCCGATGCCTTACACTCGAGTGTAACTGTGCTTCCCTTTCGCGCAGTCACTTGACCATTATGTGGAAGGGCTCTCAGCGTTGGTGGAACTGGGAAGCCAATATATTATTAATTTTTAAAGAAAATATTAGTTTTAAAAAAAAATACCTAATATTTCAACCGTGTGAACCTGATCTCGATTCTCCTGGTCTCCAAGCTGGCAAATATAGTCGCCGGCATCTTGAGTTTTAACACCGTTTATCTGAAGATTGTAGTCTGTACCAATTTTAAATCTCTGATCTCTTGAAATTTTTAAGTGACCAGCAGTGAGAACGGAAGAGCCTTTTCTCCATAGCAATACGTATGAACCAAGATTTTGAACTTTACATGGCAATTCAATTGTTTCGCCAACAATTACTTTATAAAGGTGGCCCCTAGACAAAAATTTTGGTGCTGTAGTAGGAGCTTCATTTTCTGGCAGTATAAATGATCCCTCACAAATGGACACTGAAAAAAATTTAATTTAAATAAAATTGACTTACTGAATTAAATAATTGAAATATTATGTATTGTTTTTGTATCTGTAGAAGCATGTGGTCTCCCTTCAAAATAAGGCGACTAAAGTGCTTAAACTGTGAAAAGTCAATGAGATGTCACCAATTTATTTTGAACGCTTCAAGAACAAGATCGCAGCGTGCAAAGTGAATAACTGGATGACATAAAATATTGCTATAGAAAAATATATAAATATATATATTTCAGAAAGCACAGACCGAAGAATAAGCAACAAAAATTGTGCTTAGTATGACTTCTATAAGGATCGCCCATATTGGTTGAGTGTTCGGCAGTTCTGCCTTTTAAAAATACAGAACGCGTCAAAAACATAATCAATTAGCTGCTTGCGAAAATTATAGCTCTATTGAATCATCCAATGGTTATGTATTATTTTTAGCACTATTTGTAAAATTTCAAATTAGCATGATTTCCCAATTTCTCATCATCTATTTGACAATACTCAATGTTTACAGACAATTACCGTAAGTAAAATGAAGAAAATAACCGCCCTGATATGAGATTCTTAATTGAAAGAATGGCTATCAATTCCTGCCAAGGAACTATGTAATAAGCACTTTTTAATGTCAGCGCCTAAAACTGAAGAAGGATAAGTTTCTATAGTACCAAAATGATAATGGCAAAATTAAAATGATATAATTCATTATTGTGCTGAAGTTAGCAAATGTCTAGAAACGGCATCCACTAAACGTTTTTTGCCATTAGCATTAAAAAATGTTAATTTTGTAATTTAGAGAAATAAATCGCCCATGGCAAATATTGCCATGCTCCATAGAAGAAACTTTACATATAAATATACTTTACACATATATATATATCTATAACAATCAAAACAGTTGTTTTGGTTTTAAGATCATTTTTGTATTACTAATCAACTAATTTTTTAATATATATATTATATCTTGTATGTCTTTTGAGCGAAAGTCTGCAAGTAGTTTCAGGGTTAGTCGCATTTTTGACAATATATTAAAGTGCTTGCATGTGAACTAAACTGACACATGCTCAATAGAATAGGTAACCATTACGTTATTAAACACAACGTTTGGCCGATTGGCACAAACACGCGGCCTACAGAGATAAGCCTACGCATTTTTCTTATACATGTACACACATAAATTCAAATGCGTGCATACTTTTCTATTCGAAGAATCGAAATTGCGATTGGATTGTGTTTGATTAGTCAACTGCTACGTTTTGATAAAGTGACGCCGGTGGCAGGGGCAATGTGCATTATAGAAGAGTCTGTACCAGCCGTCCTCGATCTTCTTTTTAGTTTTGTTTTGCGTGCGACATTCGCTTCCCTTGAAGTCAAATATTCAAAATTTGAAACATAAATTCATTGGTAACCCCAATTTATAAATGTTTACGGCAAACCGTAAAATACTATAGCTTTTTACAATATTTTACAAATATTTAACTCATCAAAATTATAATATTCACTTGTGTAAACAACCCCATCAAGAAATACATTGAATATACATTTATGGCCATCAATGTTATATAGTGTAAATCGATAATAACAATTTTTTTTTTATATTTATATATTGCATTAAAATCTGACAACAAAATTGTTGACAACTCCTTTGTTGTTGACTCCTCCCATGTAAAACATAATTTAAATTTTAGATTTTAAAGTTTTTAAATTGGTTACTGTAGATTGCCTTGACCGATAGATTTTTAATTGATAGTTGGTCCGCTGAACGAGTCTTAAGCTATGCAAGTAGGTTTTTTTCACATTTAAATTTAAATTTAAATCATAAGGGATTATCTCATCGGATCTTATCGGGGTTGAGGGACGCTCACACTAGTGCTTAAAAATCAGTTACAAGCATTAATATTTATTTATTTGTACTTACCTCTAAACGTAATCGTAAAAGCCAAAATATAAATGAAGAATTGCATAGTCGCCCAATGATTGCAAACGAATGTTATCTGGAGGAAAAAATAAATAATATTTTGTATATTATTGATGGGATCCCAAGCATCACTGAGATAAGTATATTCAACAAAATAAGTAGATTTAAATTAAAGTTGATAAAGAATGCATCTTTACTAAGAGTAATTATTTAATTTGTTACCATTATGTTAAGTTCCAAAAAATTGTTTAAAAAAATGCATATTTATGGACAAGTATATAATCAATCTTTTGCCTACAACCCTGTTGTAAATATAAATATTTATAAATATATATATATATATATATATATATATATATATATATATGTATATGTAAATATAAATATATATATGTAAATATAAATATATATATATATATATAAATATATATATATATATATAAATATATATATATATATATATATCTCGAAGCTCAGACCTTTAAAATAAAATAACGCTATACGAGTGTCAAAAAAAGTTCAAAATACAATTAGTAATTATAATTATATATAAATATAGAGGAACGGATTCTCCAAAAGGTAATTGGTGATATTATTGAAACATGATTCACATAGAATGTGTTAATAAAAGCAAGATATTTGAAAATTATAATTAAAATTAAAAGAATTAAAGAAAATATAATTAAATTAAGAGGAAGGAAGAGTTAAATCCAAGGACTAAAGTAAAGTGACAAAAAGCGACAGAGAACAAGGAGATATCCTGATTTAAGTCCTATCGGCATTATTTAATATTTTCCATAGTTTGTATCGAGTATTTAAAAAAATGAAAACGACACTAAGATTTGAACCCACAATTTCTACACAACGCACATCAACTACTAATTACTCCATAATTCAAAAATAACAATTAAGAAAGTTCTAGTCAGGGTGCCCGACTAGGAGATAACCGGATCCCAATCCTATTTGCGTTTATTAATATTTTCCGTAGTTTGTATCGAGTATTCAAAAAAAAAAAAAAAGAAAACAAATAAAAAACGACATTACGAGACCAGGATTCGAACCCGGATTGTTTGCGCAACGTGCACCAACTCTACTAACACCGCCACTTCATAACTAAAAAAAAAAATAAAACAATAAAAAACACTTCATCTTCACCGGTCCCGAACCATGGGTCCAGCTGCATACGAGCGCCGCTTCTACCAACGCAGCCGCTGCACCTCTTGGAAGATGAGTTGCAAATTTGTAGTTGAGTAGCAGCTGATAATTCAGCACAATTTAAACGCAATTTCGATTCTTGAAATAGATAAAGAATACACGCATTTGAATGTAGTGTGCACACGCATAGGAAAAATTCGTGCGCGTGGCGCTGCTCACATGTGCTTTAGCAAATTGGTCAAACATTTTGTTTAATACCTTCTGTTTTACTTAATGGATTTTAATGAAAATTTCAGCATATCATTTACATATTTTATAGCAGCATATGATCTACATATCCTATTAGTTTGGTTGAGATGCAAACGCCTTCACATAATAGCCCTAATTCCAACTGAACTTGAATTTTAAGAATTTGGGGAAATTTGGAGCCGGTATCCAAAATCCAACAAAAACCAAATTATATAAAATATACATAAAACTAAATACAAAATTTGGAGGCTCTAGCTCTTGACATGTTCGAGATATAATTTATATACTGCATTTCAATAATGTTTTTATTCGATAACACTTAAATGCGAATAGTTATCGAATATTTTAAACAAACTTGACCCTCATGCTATACACAGACCTACGAAAAAAAATTCCAACTCTCTAGCTCTTATAGATGCTGAGACACGCGTTCACACATATGGACAGACGGACGGACAGACAGACGGACAGGGCTCAATCGACTCTGCTTGTCGTCCTGATCAAGAATATATATACTTTATGGGGTCTGCCACGCCTCCTTCTGCCTGTTACATACATTTGCACAAAATGATTATACCCTAATTTCTCATTTTCAATGGGATCAGGGTATAAAAAGCAATAAAAAAATCTTCTTACGCAGTCAGGATAGAACCCTGGGACTAACTACCTACAACGTCACTTTACCTCTTGCGAAAAGAGTTGCAAATTCGAACTTAAGCATCAGCTAATAATTCAGCACAATTCAATCGCAATTTCAATTCTTCGAATAGAAAAAAATACACGCATTGGAATGTAGTGTCCACACGCATAGGAAAAATTCGTTCGCGTGGCGCTGCTGACATGTGCTCTTGCAAATTGGCCAAACGTTTTGTTTAATACCTTCTGTTTCACTTAATGGATTTTAATGAAATTTTCAGCATATCATCTACATATTTTATTGGCTTGGTAAAGGTGCAAACGTCTTCACATAATGGCCCTATTTCCAACTAAACTTAAAATTGTTTTGGGGAAATTTGGAGCCAGTATCCAAAATCCAAATTGCGTAAAATATACACAAAATGAAATACAAAATTTGGAGGCTCTAGCTCTTGACACGTACGAGATATAATCTATTAACTGCATTTCGATCATGTTTTTATTCTATAACAATTAAATGGGAAGAGTTATCGAATGTATGAAACAAACTTGATATGCGCGTACTATACACGGAGCTACAAAAAAAATTCAAGTCTCTAGCTCTTATAGATGCTGAGATCGACTTGGCTTGTCGTCTTGATAGAGAATATATATACTTTATGGGGTTTGCCACGCCTTCTTCTGCCTGTGAATTCATTTGCACAAAACCATTATACCCTGATTTCACATTTTCAATGGGAATAGGATTGGGAAATCACAGTACATTTTAGTCAGTACAACATGCTATGTCCGTACTCACAGCTGGGAGCTGTTAAGATAATCTGAGAGCAGGAACTTTTTCAAAAAAAGACAGAGTTCTTAGGAGAATATATTGGAACATTTTTTTAAATTAACGCGTGAACCCTGAAACGAGTTGTGTGTGGTAATTAATTTAAGTATAAAAACAATCGCCGGTTGATTAACGATGGAAAATCAAAAATATGAAGCTTATTACAGTAAGACGGTAATCGAAGATTGCGATCCTTGTTCCGATCACGCAAGGTACAATTATTGCAAAGCTTATTGAACAAAATAACTAAAATAAATAAAAAAGTAGGAAAACAGATATAATAGAAAACTGGATCAACCAAGGAAAGCCTAATGCTTTCCATCTTTTATTAACGGAATATCTGCTTTTAAAACGCAAATCTCCTTGTGTCTCATTGGTTGGCATTCCAGCCACCAGCCGAGTCAAATGGTAAGTGCAAAATAAAGTTGAAAAGTTAGTTATTCACCTCTACTTGCTGAATCGGATAATTTGTAGGTCTGTCCAGCAGAGATGCCAGTGAAGAAACAAAAGTATGTAGAAGAAAAAAAATATTTCCCTAACAGAACAATAATAGAGAACAATAGTACTATAAGGTAGCACTTTACAAATGGATTGAAAAGGAGAATATAAGACTATTGCTGTATTCCCCCAGAAACCCCATGTTTACAAAGTTGACAATCCCTATAGAGTAGTAGTCGCCACTTAAAACAGAAGTATCTTTGTCATACAGTCTCATTGGAAATCGAAAACTAAAGCTTTATAATTTCTTCGAGACGTATGATGTTGATAAAGACGGTTCGTTACTTTTGTGTTATAATTGTTATCATGTCCTTATGGCATTTTTTTAATATAGCCTACGAATGTACATTTGTTGATCCAAAATTAGAAACCCAAGTCCAAAACCCTAATAGCCAGGAAAAGTGAAAGAGTTGGTGGGGAATAGACCAAAATAGCGTAAGGCGAATAATTGCCAAGAAGCATAAAATTCGCGTTTTAAAAAGTTCCTTACGTATTCAAATTATCATACAGGTGCTTTTTATTGGCATTGCAGTATGTACCCATGGAATATCTAAACACAATCATTTTAAGTTGGAAGAAAATTTATCTTTCCTTTTTTAATTATATGATCAAATCAATCAGCTTTGTGGCTAATCACATTTTATGCATCTAATTAGCCACCTATAATTTGGCTTTTGCATTCTTTGTTAACAATTAATTTATTATACAATTTATTTATTCAAAATTGAAGACATAATAAGAGCAAAGTTTGCAAAGTATAATGAACGACATAGCCTAAATTACCATTATTATTAATTATATTTGAAATAATTTGTTTATTTTTTATTATTTATTTTCAATACATAATTTGTGGTTCCGTATACATACAAACTAAGTTCAAGGTATTGCTTTCAAGTCAAGTTGCAACCCATAGCAACATTGCAACAATTGAAAAAACATATCATTCACTATATTTTAATGATATATTTTTAAATGGAACGGTTTTTTTCTGAACTATTGAAAGAGAAATTCTGGATATATTGGTTTTGTTAAAATGTATGGAACAGTCAGGAGGAATCGTGGCAGACCCGATAAAGTGCATATATTCTTGATCAGGATGACGAGCTGCGGCAGTCCATCCATTCGCTTATAGCACGCGCAGATTAAATAATCTATAGCTATTTCAGTTTCAAAGTTATATTCAGTTCTTAAGTCGTATCACGTATGCCTTTAAAGCTAGAGTATTAAATTTAGTTTTATATTGGGAATACCAGTCCCAAACTTTACGAAAATTATTTAAATTCCAATTCAGTTACATATAAATCTAAGATAAGAAATAGTTGCTTTTTTACATATTGCTACATATTCAATAGAACAAGTAATTGTATACATGTCCACAACCAGAGCAATTGCGGTGATGATGACATGACACATTCGAGTCTTTGCCATGCCCAGGTAAGCATTCTTTTTATTAAAGTTTATAACTATACAGTGTTGTATTATTAAATACATACATATAGGGACGTATGTACAAATATAACTACGTGTCTTTTGTGTATATATGCTTAAATACTGGCCAAGGTGGGCTATCACCTAATCTGGCACCCCAAAGTACATCTTCTTTATTATTATTGTTATTTTTTGATTATACACAAATGAGAAAATGATTATACGACATAATTTGCAAGTTTGTAGACAGCTGAAAATAATAGATTTAATTCCAAAGTTACCGTAATTACAATAATTACGGGGCATTCAAAAGAGGAGAATAGTTTACTGAGGTAGAAATAGTTAACAAACAATTTAAATTGATCAATTTTGAATGAAACTTGAACTATATAATTTAAACTTATTCAATGCCATAAAGGCCATTTTAAATTCTATACATATGTATACACACATATATATTCATATGTATGCAATCTTAACCGATCATAAGAACTTAACATAACTTTAAATTAATTTAAAATGTTAAAATATTTTATATATTTAAATATGTATATATTTTATGTAGCGCAAGCTACCAGAAAAATTACACAAGTTAATAATCCGAATATATAATGTGCATATATACATACATATAACGTAGATACATATACTTACATAACTATATATGTATTTATGCACTATATATATACCTAGATATGTATGGGGTTTCCCTATGATGTATACCACTTTTGCGTAAATCCGATGATTATAATTATAAAAGTTTATTTTAATTGAAGTTAGCTTGCGAAATATGAAAAGCTTCTGAAGTTCTCTTACAGCAGCATAGATAAACATGTACATACATACATACATTCATCGAGCAAAGTTATTTTCATCAAAAATGATGCATTGGAATAAATTGCGTATAAGTATTTAAGCCTTTAAGTATATATTAGATTTCCACAGTAAAAGGCTCAATGTGATTTAAGCATACATCAATGGCAAAATTATGAGTAAATGAATATGTATCTATATGTATAATTGCATAGAGCCTTTAAAAATCCACTTATACATACATACATACATACATATGTACATGCATGTAAGAACTTGCTAAATGTGTAACTGTTAGTTTATGACTTACCATGTTGCTTTTTTTGCCACAAACTGACTTTTATTCCATTCAAGGATCTTTCTCTCCTCGATTTTAAACAAATTATTAAATATTCTTAATATTAAGTAAACAACAATCTTTATCAGTTACAAAATAGACCAATGTTTCTGGCTGACAAGTATAGTTGTATTTATCCTTAACATTTTCATTTTACTCTGCGCACGCCCAACTTTTAGATGCTTTTGCCTCTAAAGCTCTGAGAGAACTTTAGGCGGATGACTTGTATTGTTGACTCCATGACTAAATTAAAATAAAAACTGTAAATTGTATATGAGATTACTCGACTACGACATATCCTGTGGTTTTTACAACTCATCCCTTTTTATATTCTAATCTATAATCTTAGGTCGAAATGTAAGATATAAGATAAGAAATAAGTACATGCTAGAGCGTAGTTTCAACAATATTAAGCAAGAACAGATATATTCTGCTTTGAAAACCTTTGCCAAAGGCCTGTTTGAAGTGAACTTATGTTCTTTAGAATTGCATATAATCACCAGAGAGGGCCAACTGATTAGTGATAAAACTCGTATTTAAAAAATCGTATTTTCTTTGGGACAATGCTCTCTGTTTTCTTACACAAGCTAAAAAACGCATGGTAAAAGATTCTATCATTAAACTTCAGTGAGCAACAAATTAAAATAAAATAAGAAGCAAGTAAAAATGCATTAGGAACGCTCATTTTGCGTTACACAAATCATTACTATTTAATCAAGTATTTTCAAAATTTAAAGAGCATGTGAAAGGGAATGCTTCAAGCTTTTTTTTCGTTTTCTGAACAATTTTGTTGAAATTTTCACCTTCTTTGAGCATTTTTATTGCGATATTATTTCAATTCTTTGTTTATTTAAAAACACAAATATAATATTAATTTAATCCTTGCGATCTGGAATTTTCTAAAGCTAAAAAGGCCTTGAAAATATTGAAGCTTACTAAAATAAATGTTGCGAGTAAATTAATTAGTCGAGGAGCATATCATTTATTTTGCTTTAATTAATATATCTTTTCAACGACCCCAAAATATTTACATATACCTGGGTCTTTAAAGAATTCTCTATCAGTTTCATTTATCTTCCATCAACATTTTTAATTTTGCCACGTTTAGTTAGAAGAGACCCGCCTATGCGCCGCCAGCCTTCAATAAAATATCCAAAGTACTGTAAATGTACACATTCCATTATATTTTGCAAACTATTGCTACAGGGTTCTTGAAATTTGAATATATGTGAGAATATATAGGATACATATATACGCCCATAGGGTCGTGACAAGCCCTACAACTCTCTAACTTCTAAATATTAAAAAAAAATCCAACACCTATTGTATAAAATATCCTATTTCCACAACTATGGAGCATAAGCCCCATAAATTTACAATTACGTTGATGCAGACTTACTCTAAAGATGGTCCAAAAAATATTTGTGCCAAACCCGAAAACAAATATCTTCCTACGTTATCAAGTTGGCAACATTTAGAACGTGAAAATTGTTAGTGCTTATGCAATTTAACATATTATAAGCATATAATAAAATCAGGAAGCGGAGAAGTCGAGGCTTTATTAATTATTGTATGCATTTGAGACTAAATTCTAAAATCGTAATTCTTAATTAATTATAACAAAGTTTCATATATGAATTTAAATATCACATAATCTTAAAGAATAAAATGAAAACTAGTTCCATTACAATGCAACAAATATTATTTACGACGCTATCTTGGCGACCATATGCGGAACGCTGGACACACAAATTATGGTTTATTATTGTTTGTAGCATTTCTCATAAATGAGTGCACTAAAATATGTTTTTGTCATAAATGCGGTTCTAGCCATTTTTATAGCTGAATGCACTCTAAAAGAAGAAAATATCTGCACTCCTAAGGGAATACAATTTCAGGAGAAGAACGTTCCTAATGAGTTTATTGTTACATATCATTCAAAATACTTAACGAAAGTTAGAAAGTCATTTATTTTAAAAAGGCTTATAAAGGGGAATGTATGTATTATACATTTATAAATCAATGACTTCATAAAAACTACATAACATATTATTTTTAGGTATTGGAATGGTCAATTAAACCCCGCAATAATTTGGCTAGTTACTATCCAAGCGATTTTGACATTTTGTATTTATCGGATACAAATTGCACTCTAATTGAAGAAACTCTCAACTTTGTCAGGGCTCACCCCGTTGTTAAAAAAGTTTCTCGACATCATTATGTCCAAAGATATCTGTCATCTAACATCACAGACAGCTTCACATATAATATTCGCAATCCCCAAGGTGTTGCTCGGGATAAACACGTGAAGTCTGGGCATCCTCAGCATGTGACTGCATCCTTACATGCAGATGTTCTTTGGAAGCTTGGAATTACGGGGAAGGGTGTTAAGGTTGCCATTTTTGACACTGGCTTAACTCAAAATCATCCCCATTTTCGAAACGTCAAGGAGCGAACCAATTGGACAAATGAAAAGTCTTTGGATGACGGCGTAAGTCACGGGACTTTCGTTGCTGGTGTGATAGCTTCTTCAAAGGAATGTCTTGGATTAGCTCCAGATGCTGAGCTGCATATATATAAAGTTTTCACAAACTCGCAAGTAAGCAAGTTAAATCACATATAGCGACAAAAAAAAGAAATTTAACAGAAATTGTAACTAAGAATCAGACTATATATTTTCAAAGATTTTGGGCGTGTTGAATGCGGATCAAAAATAGATTACCCCTATTCTTATATTCAACACGTTAAGAAATGTTGGAAAACTTATACCTAATTCTTGTTTATCCAATTCAGTTTCATCTAATTAAGTTATGTCCCGATAACAACCAATTTCTTTTAAAGGTATCCTATACTTCGTGGTTTTTAGATGCTTTCAATTATGCAATTTACAAAAAAGTGCATATTATCAATTTAAGCATTGGAGGGCCGGATTTTATGGATTCACCTTTCGTCGATAAGGTTCTCGAGTTGTCAGCAAATAATATAATAATGATATCGGCCGCCGGAAATGATGGTCCCATATACGGCACTCTAAATAATCCGGGTGATCAAAGCGATGTGATCGGCGTGGGTAGTATCAATTTTGACAATCAAATTGCCAGATTTAGTTCTAGAGGAATGACAACCTGGGAACTTCCACTAGGTTATGGTAGAATAGGGTTAGATATTGTCACCTATGGCAGTCAAGTTGAGGGAAGTGACGTACGCAAAGGATGCAGAAGGCTATCCGGAACTTCAGTCTCATCGCCCGTTGTTGCGGGAGTCGCAGCTTTACTTAGAAGCGGCGCCTCACATAAAATAGATTTAGTTAATCCGTCATCCTTGAAACAAGTTCTAGTTGAAGGGGCTGAAAGGCTGGCAAATTATAATATATTTGAGCAAGGTCAAGGAAAACTAAATTTGTTGAAAAGTATGCAGTTACTACTATCTTACAAGCCAAAAATTAGTCTTATCCCATCTTCGTTTGATTTTACATCAAATTACATGTGGCCATACAGTAGTCAACCGCTATTCTATGGAAGCACTGCCGCTATTGTAAATGTTACGATACTTAATGGAATATCTGTAACCGGAAAAATTATAGGTCAACCGAAATGGGTTCCCGATCCTCAACATTGTGGCCGATTCCTGAACATTTCTACGTCCTTTTCAATTACGCTTTGGCCGTGGACTGGGTGGATGTCAGTCTATATTGGTAAGAGAGTTGCACAATATAAAACAAGAAAATAAAAATCATAAAATGGCAGTATTTTTCTAAATATATAAAGTATTCAGGAGAGCCAAATTAATGGCGACCTATAGCTGAGCTATGTTGTGAAAAATCGCATCATGTCATTTGCTTTTATATTTACGAATTAAATATGGCATTCATTTTATTCAAATAATGCATAATACAGCCATCAATTCAAAGAAAATATAAATCGATGCTATGTATAAAACTTTCTTTTGTTAATTCGACAGAGAACCGAATGAGTTTCTTAGTTAGTTAACGACAGCTCTCGCTTTTTATTAATTTTTTAATTTCAAACAAAGTTAATAATAACATACTGAAAATGTAAAAGTTAAACATAATAATATTATATTTTTGTAGTGGTTTCCCTGCATATTGATTAAATTTAAAGATATTAAACATTTTAGGCATTTAGACATCGAGAAGTGCAGGCGAGAGAAGTGCAATAAGTACTAAACAGATTATATTTTAATTCCAGCTGTTAACAGCGAAGCACAGAATTATGAAGGTATCGCTAAAGGGCGTATAATATTATTGATTGATAGTATCCCAATTGGCACAAATACGACTATACAAAGTGAAGTAGAGTTACCATTGACGGTAAAAATTTCACCAAAGCCGCCTCGGCACAAAAGAATTCTATGGGATCAATATCATAGTCTAAGATATCCACCAGGCTATATACCAAGGGACAATTTAAAGATTAAAACTGACCCCCTCGATTGGAGGGCAGATCACATTCATACCAATTTTCGAGACACCTATATTCATTTAAGAAACTCTGGCTATTATATAGACGTCTTAAGAGAACCTTATACTTGCTTTAACCCACTTGAATATGGGGTATTATTGATCGTAGATCCCGAAGAAGAATTTTATGACGAAGAGATTTCATGTCTGGAAAAATTTGTCTACGAAAATGGCTTAAGTGTTATTATTTTTGCGGATTGGTATAATACTACGGTAATGAGACACATAAAATTTTTTGATGAGAATAGCAGACAATGGTGGATACCTGATACTGGTGGAGCCAATATTCCAGCTTTAAACGATCTTTTGACACCCTTTAATATATCGTTCGGAGATTTCGTGGGTGAAGGATATTTCAAATTGGGCGACCATTCAATGTATTACGCAAGTGGTACAACGCTTAAAACATTTCCAAATAATCGAGATGACGTGGTTATTGGCACAAATTTAAATGATCAAGGGGAATCGGTAAGAACTTAAATTTAAAAAAATATATTTTTTAAATTAATAGTCTATTTTTTCAGATTATTACAAATGGGAAATTACAAAATATGGATTCTAAACAATTTCTACCCATAATGGGATTATTTCAAACTAATTCCAAATACCGACAGATTGATAAAACACAAATTCTAAGAAAATCTCAAGTTGACGATACCATTAAGTATCCGGATATGCCATTTGATCATCCAATTTTAAAAAATCGAATTTTACTTAATGAGAAAAGCGAAATGTTCACAGAAGGCCGTATTGCTGTCTATGGTGATTCAAATTGCTTAGATTCCTCGCACATGGAAAAAGCATGCTTCTGGCTTTTAACAACCATATTAGATTTTACAATGAATTCTCATAAATCAATGTTATTAGAAAATTTAAATCGAATTTCAGAGTTTAAGGAAGTGAAGAGCACGGCTTTACCTCTCAGAATGCCCAATAGTAATTTAAATAAGTTTTCAAAAGTGGTAAGGCATATGAAAAATCGAGTTTTGCAGTGCGAAAAACTAGAATGGATAGTGGCAACGACGATAGCAAACATTAGTAAAAGGATAGTACTGGACGTTGATACGATCGAAGGTAATATGTAACGTATGGAATTGTTTCATTTGCTAAAATAATAAATATCTGTATTTCAGGAAGTCATTCAGGAAGTAATAATATTATTGCTAATTTAAATACAGAGCTTGCCAAAATGACCTTGAATAGTGATAAACAATTTTCTGACCAAATTCACCATAATGTTAATATATCCGTTTTATTTATGATAACACTCAGTTTAACTGTTCTTATAGTTTTTGTGTTGTTTTTAAAAGGAAAAATTGGATTTCATTCATTTAAATAAAGTAAATAAATAAAAAAAAATATTTTAACTTTATTATTGGATATGAAAAGTGTGCTATTCAAGATAAGAAGACCGGAACTCTGCGATGCGGAGGTAATCCCATCAATCTATAATTATTTTAATGTATTGCAAAAATACGCGTTCTGTTTACTGTTCACTGCGCACTTTACACAGCGAATGCACTTGTGTTGCTGCAGTATATATATTGTTGAATAACTTTCGTTCTCAATAGATATTCTTAATGAAATTATGAAACAATGTCATCTACATGGTTATATTTGTACAAGTCTAAAGCACTTGAAATCTTTCACGTTTCCATCTGCCTCTTATATGCATTTAAGCAAAACTAGTATACCCTAAATTCCCATTTTCAATAAGCAGAAGAAATAATACCTGCGGCTGGACGACAATAGCAGAATGACGTACTAAACCTATGTACGTCTAGCTCAAAATGGAAATGATGCCTAATGTTGAAAAGTATAAAATATACCTTTTTTTTAATAATTTATAAATATTACAATTACAAATATTATTTTTTCTTATTATTTACATTCTCAACACCCGGCGGAATTTTTGTAATCCAAAACAAATTACTGATGGCTTCAATGACAATATGTAAAATCTTCATCGCTTTAAAATAACTGACAATATTCACTGGAATAACATGCCAAATTCTCAGATTATCTAGAAGGCCAAGAACGTCACTAACCTAACATATAAGGCATAAATGGAATTAATATGTATAGAATGTATATTGGAACTAGAAGGAATTTGTGGCTGAAACTTTATGGTGACAAAACAAAATAATTGACCTATCTAGACAGGAATTAATATCAGATTCTAATGCGTTAAAAATGTTGATTACCAACTATTTGTTATATATGTTTTACTTGCTTTTCGACTATTCAAATTTATTATAATAAAAATGCAGTATTCTTATTAAAAATATAGTTATACTTGTATAGTTTTATTTCATATAAAATCAGTAGAAAAAGAAATGGAGTCATGGCCAAAGTTAAAATCTATGTTTTTATACAATTAATATGTCATTCACTACTATATTTTCCTTGCAGCGGTTGAAAATCTTCTAATTCCGAGTCTTCAATTTCGCAAAGTCGAACAGAAATATTGCTGTCTGAACCAGATTTGCCAGCCGCATATGGAAACAGATATATTTCTTCTGAATTACCTGTAACCAAATATTAAGGTTCTTATTAATAACATTCTATTTGAATAGTTTGAAATTGATTTTTTAAATATATTACTATTTAATGTATTTTTTAAAATGATTAATCATACGAATTGTAAATAAATACATAATATAAATAAATAAATATGCATTACCGCTAATCACTCTTCTACTTGATAACTCCTTTTTCAGCATGGCTGTCTCATTATTGGAGCTTTCCGCCTCCGTGTCACTTGGAGTATGTAACGCCGGTAAATATGAATCTGGATGTCGCAAATATACTTTGCCTGGTAACAATTAAAAAAAATGGCATCAAAGATAGAGAATTTATTTGAAGGAATATTAAACATTTTTATTTCTTATATACTACGATTTTATTCTGTATAAGATAATGATATAATGTATTGTGTAAGATATAGTGTATTGTGTACTACTACAGCTAAGTTCCAGTTTCACTTTATAGAAATATGATTACAAGTTTTAAAGACTTTCGTCACAAAACTGAAAAAGGTTGTGGTTGTATTTGAGTTTTCCTCCATTTTAACTTAACAAATTTACGCTACATGAATAAACACTCATGAAATTAATAAAAAAAAAGTACGAATGCCCGCTTTCGCATAATACAAAACTTTGGAAGACATGTTTTATTCCGATCTATATATATATAAATATATAATCAGTTTTGGTAAATCAACGAATGTCAATAGGATCTTAATTTTTAGAGGAAGTGTACACTAACGTATATATATTATTTTGGGGCATCGGCTCCAAAAATGTGGAAAATACGGTGTATTTACTATATGAAGCCCCCAAAGGAGCGTAAATATTTTTTAGTGCATCAAAAGTCGAAGTCAAGAGCAACTCAATAATCTAAAGGATTAAAATATATAATATAGATTTTACGGTTTTGCCATGCCTCATAAAGATCTGGATATTAAACATATCTTTTTAGATGCGGGAGGCACTCACGAGAATACCCACAAATATATAATTTCTAGCTTCAATAGAGCCGAAATGGTTTGCGTTTATACAGACGAACGGTAAAACAAACATTGCAATGAAAAAGGAAACTGTTTTAAAAAATACGACTCTTTCACGCAGTTAAACTTACGCAAATGATTTGATTTAGATTGGAAAGGCACTGAATGCATGGAAATAAATACGTTCAGTTAATTATAAATCGGCTTGATTTTGATAATATTAATCATACCTGTATTTAGTTTGTAGTCTTCATTCTCGCTTTTATTAAATGAACTTAGCCTTGAACGGGATTCATTATTTAAATTCGGCAACATAAATGGTTGAACACAGCTTTCCATCTCTGAATCCACATATTCAAATAACATATCTTCATTTAGAGCATCTATATCTCTCGTTGGATCGATACCTTCTACTGTGAAAAACAAATATTAATGTTAAATTTAACTTTTATTAATTTCTTTGATAGTTAGGTTTATTTTTCCCACTTACCATTAACTAAATATTTCCGTTTTGATTTAGATTCATTACTGTCATTACTATGGAAGCTTGAGGAGTCTGCGACTTCTGCACCAGGAACTTCAGTTATGTCCGGTAAAGGATTGTGGCTTTTCCGCACCCAATCCGAACAATCCCAGTGATATTGCCCATTACCAGGGGAATCAACAAAACTTCCACTCGATGTAGAATGACACAATTTAGGCATTGCAACTTGAATAAGTTTTCCATTTGAAAGACGGTTAATTGGAAAGCCATAGTCTATTCTGCGTTCTGTAAATATTGATTTTGATTTGATTTATATATTCTGATTGTGGTTTTAAATAATATCCGCATGAGCACTTACCATTATTAAGTTTATTCTCGTTAAACGTTTTTAAATGAATTTGTTCACACCACTCTTGCTTATGTCCGTTGTCGTCGATTAGATTGCTTGGATTTATATTAACATGTTGATTAGTTCGATTAACTTTTTGATATTCGAAAGGTATATTTTCGAGCTCATCACCAGCGGAGCCATAACTTCGTAAAATATCTAAATTATTTACAAATGTTGTATTACTAACAAATAGGCTATCATTTATTGGAGGCGAATAGCTTATTGGTCGTTGGCTGATTTCCAAATTGCTTATTTTGGCATTAGATTTGCAAGGGTTATCCTTGTCGAGAAGAGAGTTAAGATTCGCTTGCTTCAGAGAGTGCTTATTTTTGATTTTTTCGTTTCGATTTCTGACTTTTGAAGGTGTATTTTTCTTGAAAGCTAAACAGACCAGCAATATGATGACTGTAAGGAGTACTATAGTTACGCCCGATATTATTCCACTTATATGCTCCATTGAAAAGTTTTTTAATTTCGTTGAAATAGAATTAGAATAAAGAGGATCTCCACAACTTGCACCAGTAAGAAATGACGGACATATGCAACGAAAACTACCAGCTTCATTAATACAAGTGGCTCCATTTCCACAAGGTTGATTTTCACACTCATTGACATCAATTTCACAATTTGGTCCTGTAAATCCACGGCACATACAATGTGACACACCGTCACCTTCTTCACATATTCCGCCATTCTTGCAAGGATTCGGAGTACAAAACTTTCCATATTCACATCTCCTTCCAGATAAGTGTATTGGACAAATACATGTGAAATTATTAACTGCTTGATTTTCACAGCGCCCTCCAAATAAGCACGGAGCTGACGAACACGGATCCAAATCAATTTCACAGAATTCTCCAGAAAATCGTGCATGACAAATACATTTGAAATTGTCATTTCCAACATCTCTGCAAATTCCACTATTGAGACATGGTTGGGTACCACAAACTCCCAAGCTTACAAGAACGTTTGCAGGATCACACTTAAACTCAACATTTGTGAATCTCTTCAGAGCCGCAATCGTACTACCGCCTGAAATGTATAAAGGTAAAGGCTCCATTGCAATCTTAATGTTTGCCATACATCCTATAAACCCACGTTGAATATCTTCATAGCCAATAATTGATGGATGCGGCCGAACTTCAGCTCCGACGAATATATCATTTGACTGAATATTTAATATGCCATTTACTCCAGGAGCACTACCCTGGGAAACATGTTTGTTATCAACAATCAATTTGGCACTGTTCAGAGTGCGTTCCAATGTAATAGTGTGCCATGCGCCATCGGAAATATAAATGCTTGACACACTAACGACACCTTCTCCCGATCCTAAATCGAATTTGTATTTTACAGCTCCATTTACAAGTTCCAACACATTGTAATCAACTTTTCCGCTGGCATATAATAGTGTCCCACTTTGTTGCACTGTTCTGATTTGTAGGGAGTAGGCAAATTGGTTTTCCAGTATAGTTTTCGCCTTGGCTTTATTTATTTTATAATGAGCATAACTTTTACCTCCAAATGATACTGCTGTTGATAAAAAATCATCGCAGGTTTCATTATCGCACCTGGAAGATTTGATTTCGCAAAATGAACCTGAGTATCCCTTTGGACATACACATTGATATTTAGTTGAAGATTCTGATGGCAAGCAGTTTCGCTGCGGAGGACACGGTTCTGAAGAGCATGCATTTACGGTTTCATTGCAGTCCTTTCCATCAAAGCCAGCTTTGCACACACATTTATTTACTAAACTATAAGAGGGCGCTGCAAAGCTGATGACATCTGTGTAAATAGTTGTTATATTGTTTGTCTCGATACTAATCAATTGTTTACAGATTCCGTTGACACAAATGTTTTCTTTGCTCTTGCAATAACTTGGTAAAATTTCCTCAATGATTAAATTTGAGTCGTTCTCAATTTCAATTTCTTTGCTGATAACAGCTAAACGAATTTCATCACTACTGAAGAAGGCATTTGAGTTTGGATTTATTTGTTGCTTGTGAACTGCAAATACAACATTTAAATCAGTGGAATATTGCTCTCTATTGCCCAACGAATTTCGAACTTCCTCCTGCAACGATATTAAAATCACATCTTTTGGACGACACCTCATCACGTTACGTATCGATCGAATGAAACCTTTTCTATGACTTAGTAAGAAATCGGCTGCAGATATTTTACTAAATCTAATTACGGTTGCTTCTTTGACCATTTCCATTGTTATTAGCTCAACATTAATTTTCACAGTTGTGTATACAGTAAATTTTCCATCAGTGACTGATACATTTAATTTATAAAGGCCAATATCCAAGTTAGATGATGAGAATATTTCTCCAGTTTTTTCATTAATACTGAATAGTTTTGAAGATTGATAAGTTTCGTCAATGGTTGAAGTTTTAGCAAATGTTAATTCATCATATTGATCTTGATCAGTAGCATAAACTTTACCCAAAAACGCAGTTGTAAATTCATCTTCAAACGAATTTACATTAATCTCTAAAGGAGTTAAAATTGGAGGATATTGGCTTTCCTCAATTATTTTTATTGAAACCCATGTGTCCGCGTAGAGTGGAGGCGTGCCATTATCAAAAACACGAATTTGTATTATGAATCTATCTTGCAATTTGTGATTAAACCGAGACGCTGTGCTTAGTGATCCATCTTGTTCCAGCCGAAAGAGTCCACCTTCATTTCCAGAGCGTATATCAAATGTGTAAGGTGTTGAATTGGGTGCCTCGTCAGCATCGGATATATCGAAGGCCAAAAAAACATATCCCAATGGTCTACTTTCTTGTAAAACTACGCTATAATTCGCATGCGAAAAAACTGGTGCATTATCATTTGCATCCAAAACAATAATATTGACTTGTACACTATTGCATTGAACCGGAATCCCTAAATCACAGGCTTGCACCTCCAGTACATAGTCTGAAATAGTTTCTCGATCGAGTGACCTTGCCAGGCTTATTGATCCATTGCTATTGTTTATTTGAAATTGCCTTAAGCCATCACCTTTCACAATATCATATTTTATGACCCCATTCAAGTTGGAGTCCTCATCAGTGGCTTTAATATCTATTATTGGAGTATTCAATAAACTATCTTCTTTGACACTACTTCGAAAAATGTTTTGCGTAAACGTTGGCTTGTTATCATTAACATCATCTATAGATATATTTACATTTGCGATGTTGCTAAGCGGCGGGCTGCCTCCATCAATAGCTTGAACAGTAAGAAAATAGAATTTGGTTTTTTCAAAGTCCAATGATCCGTTAACCCATAATACTCCTGTACTGGAATTAATATTGAATTTACGCTGTTCATTGCCACTTATAATAAAATATGATATTTCAGCATTAACACCAATATCTTTTGATGTAGCAGTGACTTTACAAACTTCATATCCATGTGTGACATTTTCATGTATGTGACTTGAGTACTGACGTAAGGTAAATTCAGGAGGATTGTCGTTTATATCCAAAATGTTTATGACAATATTTACAACTGATGACAATATTGGTTTCCCGAAATCTTCCGCAATGATTGTTAAATTATACAATGATATAGTTTCGCGGTCCAAGTTCTTTTCTAATTTTATAATTCCCGTTGATTTCGAGATTCCAAAATAATCACTATTTGTTCCTATTAATGAGTACCTTATCTTTCGGTTTATGCCAAAATCCTTATCAGTAGCATGAACTTTTGTAACTAACGTTTGTAGTTGAGCATCCTCTTGTATGCTTACTCTATAACTGGGCATAGTGAAAATGGGGGCATTATCGTTTATGTCATTCACAGTGATTATTATTTCAGAAACACACTCTCTTACGAATTCTTTTCCATCCTGAATATGTGCAAAAATGTTATATTTCGAAATTCGTTCTCGGTCAAGCAGCTTCGCTACTCTTAAAACTCCAGTTTCTTTGCAAATAACAAAATCGTCTGAACTCCTCCCAGATAAGTAGTAACGTAATTTAAAATCATTACTCGAGTCGAAATCCAACGCCTTTACTTTAACTATGGTCGCTCCGACCGCTATTGATTCATTTATTGTAATGTAGTAACGGGGCTTTAAACAGTATGGCATATTATCGTTAACGTCCTTTATGTGGACTTGAACATTTGACTTGGCGGTGAACTTGCCGTCTGTGGCTAATATGCTTAAGTTGTAAAATGATATTTGTTCTCTATCAAGTGGTCTTGATATAAACAACTCTCCTGTTTTCCCAATTTGAAATTGCGATTGATTATCTCCCGAAATAATATAATATTCCATAACTTGCTTTTCACTATCTGGATCTATTAGCAATAAATTTTTAAGTACAGTTCCCGGAAGCGCACTTTCTAAAACATATATATGGTCCTGAGCCAACTTAAATTGGGGTCCATTATCATTGTAGTCAATAATCTTAATGGATACTGGTACCTTTGAATCGTGTTTTGGGTGGCCGTTATCAGTGGCAATGACTTTAAGGTTAAACTCTGATTGTATTTCTCTATCCAAGGAAGATAATAGAGTGATCATTCCTGTATAAACGTCGATGTCAAAAACGTTTCGTATACTATTTGATTCATCGTCAATGTAGTATCGAACATCACCATTTGATCCACTATCTGCATCAGTTGCCGTTACTTTTAGTATTGAAGCAACTTTGTCGGTATTCTCCGCGACTTCGACATTATAAATTACAGTATCAAATTTAGGATAATTGTCATTTTCATCGGTAACATGTATATTAACATCAGCATATGCAAATAGAACTGGTAACGTTGCGGTTTCGGCTACGATTACTAGATAATGAGTTTCATTTTGCTCTCTATCCAATGTTTGCATTAGAATCAATTCTCCATTTTCCGATACTGCAAAAATTGAGCTTTCTTCTGAAGTCGAAAATTTTAAAGAATAATTTCCATAAACATGAAATTTAGTCAACACAGTTCCTGGCGATGTAGATTCTACTATTTTAAGATTGACGTGTTTTTTTTCAAAAGTAGGAATTATCACATCCGAGTTGACTATTTCGAGAGAAACCGGAATGTCATTATGCAAAGATGGCACTCCACAGTCATAAGCTCGAATGAAAAATTGTAAGACGCCTTTGTCAAGTTTTTCCGGCTCACTAATAATAACTATATTTCCATTACTTTCATTCAAATGAATTTTGTTGTCCAACATTGTTTTCATTGAGCTGGGAATAATGGTATATTTTACAGTGCTATTGATGTCCAAATCTTTATCCATAGCTTTTATCTGAAAAGCAGAAATACCTTTTTAATATTTGCAACTTTAAGATGCGGTGAAATACATTTTTGACTGTTCTGTTTGATATATTTTGTCTTGAAAATGATTTTATTTTAATATTTGTTTTACTTATACTTACTTCTAATATAGTATCAGTAGGCTTTATTGAAGAACTTATAACAAGTTTATATTCTTTCAAGAAGAATTGTGGGCTATTGTCATTTACGTCTTCAATGAAAACTCTTAGTGTAGCAAAGCCAAATTTATATCCACCATCAATTGCCTTTAACTGTACGACGTACTCATCTTTAATTTCTCGGTCAAATGTAACTTTTGATGTAATCACACCAGTATTACGGTTTATATCGAAATACTTCTTCATTTCCTCAGACGCAATTTCATAATAAACATTAGCGTATTGACCAAAATCATTATCAATTGCTTTAACCTGGAATTACAAACCAAGAATAAAACGGAAAGCCAACTTGTATAAATATATACGAACCGTAATTATTTTATGTCCATGCGGCAGATTTTCCGAAATTTTTGCTTCATACATCAGTTCCTCAAACTGCGGGCTATGGATGTTTTCAGGAACTAAAGTAATTTTTAATCGAGCAAAACTTGTGTGAACTCCATCGGAAATTGAAATATTTAAAATCGTGTTTGGTTTATCAGTGAAATTTAACATGTTTTGAAGATAAATTATTCCGCTTTGTTTATCAATGCTGTACGTTTGTAATTCGTTACCGTCGACAATTTTGTATCGCAGAAAATTTATGTCAGATATATCATTATCAAACGCTCTTGGCAATGCAACAAATTGACCGCGTGTCGCTGCTACTGACAACTTCGTATTGAACGAAGGCTCGATAAATTTCGGAGAGTTATCATTGAGATCTTTAACTGCGAACAAAAAAATATATATCTTTAACTATTCAAATATGAATTTTATTTATTTACATTTTATTTATTTATTTAAATATCACCCTAGTGTCTAATGAGCAACATTTAAAAATTGACTTACCTGTAATAAAAACATTGCATTTTGAAGATAATTGTGGAGAGCCATGATCTTTAACGTGCACAACAACGTGATGATGGTTTTTAAGTTCATAATCCAACGAAGTTTTCAAGTACAAATATCCTTCACTAACATCAATGTAAAAAGTATCGGAATTATTTCGACCATCAATCGATTCGATAAAATATGATAGTTTTCCATTTGCACCGGAATCCTTATCAGTTGCGTTTATTTTTAGTATTTGTGATCCAAATGGAATATTTTCCGGTAAAGTAATATTATAATAGTCGTTTTCGATATCAGGATAACAATCATTTACATCAATCACTGTTATGGATACTAAGACATCTGCGTAAATTCCAGAAATACTATCAGTGGCTCGAATAGATATCTCATGTATATTTTTATCCTCATAATCAAGCTCATTGACCACATACAACGATCCTAAATATATTAAATTATAAAGCATATAACATCTGTCTACTATTCGAAATATTATATAATGTTATATTAAATTAAAGTATATTAGTTTACCTGTTCTATAATCAATTTCAAAGAATTGTTCGGAACCATCAGCAGATATTGTGTAAATTAGCTTACGTTTTAACGGGCTCTCAGCTTGGATCGATACAAATAGAGTATTATACATTTCAACGTCTTCTTTCACGCTCACCGAATAAAATTGTTTTTCAAATATTGGCATAGAACGGTCAATAACCTATTAAAAAACGGAAAATATTTTAAATTTATTTATTTATTTATATTTATATTTATTTATATTTCACTAAGAATACCTTTATTTGAACCGGAACTTCTGTACAGCATGAAATTACAGCACCATCGCAGGCTGCAACTATTAAGTCGTATTTTCGGTTATGGCCTTCAATAATTTGTTTAATTGACAACTCTCCAGTTTTTCTATCAATTTTAAAAAGTTCACCATTTCCCTTTTTTAGCTCATAACGAACTTCGCCATTTTCAGAACTGTCCAGATCAATAGCTTTTACCTTCATTATGATTGTTCCCTTTGTAAAGCCAACAGATACTGAAGCATAATATGGCATGTTGACGAACATAGGGCAGTTATCGTTTATGTCTAATATAGAGATAAAAACTGAAGTGATTGCTCTGCGAATACTCGTACTACCCTTATCATATATTGTTGATTTTGCTTCAACGAAGATCTTATATATGTCTTGAACTTCTCGGTCAAACATTAGTCCAGTCGTTTTTATAGCTCCAGATGAAATTCCGATTTCAAACATTTCTGTTGGATTAAGTATAATGTATTCCACATTTTCAGCCAATGTATTTCCAATGACATTAATTAATCCTATTGTCGCAATTTTTGTTGTATTTTCAAATGTCGAAAACTCGTATATTTTCTTTTGAAATACGAAATTTGAATTAGCTATTGCCTCAATTTTAATATTTATGAGGAGAATGGTAGAATACAGTCCATCAGAGGCACGGACATGTAAAAAGTATTCATTACTTTTAAATTCGTCATTCCTAAAATGAAAAATACCAATATGATTTCAATTTATCTACAAATAAAAACATTTTATGAAAATTAAAATAAATTTCAATTTTCCCATTGTTGGTGTCTCTACATTTTTTGGTATTTAAATCTTGAATATCCATTTTGGTCAACAATTAAATATTGCCGACTGTTAGCTATCGGTAAGACGGACGGAAAGGCTTGATTTACCCATTTTGACGTTGTGATGTTAGTATATATATATATGTTCTTTATATAAACTGGGAAAGTCAAGCTTTACCGTCATTATAGTATCGGATACGTACATATTTTGTAGATTTTCATAAAAACATTAGAAAAATAATTGTCTGTTTTAATCAATTTTATTGCGTTTCGGCAATATTATGATATATATACTACTATAATATGCTATGCAATTGTTGTTAATTTAATTGAAAATATAATATGTTAATTTACCTTGTTGTTATTAATCCTGTAATTGGATGTATTTGAAAACATTCTTGGTTGTTTCCATCAACAATGTCATAACGAATAACATCGTTGTCGGCGTCATGTGCAGCAATACGGGCCACAAATACATTTTCAAAAGTTGGTAGAAACAAAGTGACATTCAGATCTCGATCTTTGAATACCGGGGGACAGTCATTCACATTATTTACAAGAATAACAACGTGAGCTTTTGTAACGGAATATAAGTTTGGTTTACCACTGTCACTAACCTATAAATTTAGAATTTACCATTAACAAAATACAAATATGTTTAAAATGAAATATATTTTTCATTCAGCTTTTTAAGTGCCGGTAAGAATATCTACAAATAAGTTGGTTTTGTATTTGCGCTTATGAACGAAACTTACCGTTACCCAAAATGAATAATTCGTCTTCCTTTCGTAATCTAGACTATGTAAAATTTCGATAGCTCCTGTGGTAGAATCAATTTTAAACATTTTTCTCGCCAAGTCATCAAGAATATTGTATTGCAACATGGCGTTTGGTCCAACGTCAGCATCAGATACATTTAGTTTTAAATGACTGAAAGTAAATGTAATCTTTAAGTATAAGAATATATGCCAGCTGAATGGTCTGCACAACTTAAATGGAAAGCACTTTAAGTAGAGTATTTGTTCTATTGGTTTTTAAAGAGAAGAAAACGTTCTTATAGAAAAAGTCTAACATATCAGGATATTTTTAATTTAACATTTTGGCCATATTTTATGGATAATCGTTAAGGATATTGCCCATGTACGAAGTAGCACAGAGTGTGCTTAAAAGAATTTCTCACCGTTTTTTCTTATCGTCAATTATATGTACATATGACCCCAAAGCAGCGGACTCCGAAACGCTTCCCATATATTCACTTTGCTGGAATATTGGATTATTGTCGTTCATGTCTAAAACATGGATTATTAGGTTTTGGTAAGAAGACAGGGAAGCCATATTTGTTCCTTTCACAGTTAGATTAAAAATTCTGAAAATAAAAACGATACATAAAAGGAAATAAAATATTAATATATTGTTATTATTATTGTGTTATATATATATTTACTTGTTTATTTCATAATCGACATTGGCGTTAATAACAATAACACCTGTGGACGGGTTAATTCGAAAGCTGTCATTGACGTTACCAGATATTATATTGAAGAAAACTGACGAAGATGATCGGGCTTCAACTTGCGTTACAAAAGATCCAATATTTAAATTTTCAAACATTTCCAGAGAAATTATATCAGTAAAAAACTTAGGAGGATCGTTATCAGACATGGTAATAATTATATGAACAGGGACTTGAGATGATAAAGGAGGCTGTCCAAAGTCTAAAGCTTTAACTTGCAACATATATTCCTGCATTTTATTGATGTCCAAAGATGCGGCCAAATATATAATACCAAATGTTGGATCAATTTCAAACATACTTCCTACGTTCCCGGTAATTATTGAGTACTGAATTTCAGCATTTTTGCCACTATCTCGATCAATAGCCATTACTTGAACAATTTTGGAGCCAATTGCAGCGCTCTCGGGAACTTTACTTTGAATAATTTTTGCTGTAAACTCGGGAGCATGATCATTATGATCATGCACATTTACTATTATCTTTGCGTAATTCCTCTTCCCTGGTGTTCCTTGATCCTTTACGAACGCAATTAGTATGTGTTGAGATGTTTTTTCAAAATCAAGTTTCTGGGTGACTATAACATTGCCACTTATGGAATCGATACGAAATAAAGTTAGAGATGATGGATCTTGTGTAGCATGTAGTTGATAGAATAATTTCTTGTCCTCATCTCTGTCAGTTGCATGTAGTTGCATAATAACAGATTCTTCTTCAATATTTTCAGATATATTAACATGGTATATCTCTTTAGTAAATTGTGGTGCATTGTCGTTCGTATCAACAACTTGAATATACAGCCACGTATGTGCTATATTTGAGCCATCAGTTACACTAATTGATAGATTGTAAGAAGTTTGTGTTTCATAATCCAAATACTTTGACAGCAGTACATTTCCAGTATCTCTTCCAATGTAAAAGTGATTTCCTTCATTTCCTCCTAATGAAAATAAAGTTCAAATTCTTTATTTATTCAAAAATTGTATACTCTGAACTTATTGAAAGTAGGAAATCATGTTATAATGGGTTTGTTATGTAACAGGCAGAAGGAGATGTGGCAAACCTCATGAAGTATATATATCTTTATATAAGCACATGAATGGAAAATTTGGCTTATAGCTCAGCTCAAGTCTGTTTCAAATATTTAATGAATATTATGAACATTATCGAAATGCAGTTGCATTATAGGCAATATTTGAAAAAGTTTGAATTTTTACTAAGCTGGCAGAAAACAACGCTAATATAATTCTAATCAACCAAACATTTTTGTCTTCCATACAAAACCAGTAAGACAGTCGGGCTGCCCGACTAGGAGATACCCGTTTTATTGCCACGTAATTTTTCAAATTGGCCAAACGTTTTGTTTAATAACCTATGTTTTACTTAATGCAAATTAGTTAATTTCAGCGTATGATCTCCATATTCTATTAGAGTATATGTCAGCTTAGTAAAAACAAAAAATTATAATATATTAAATATCCACAATATAACAAAAATAAAAATTGTACAAAAAAATACGTAATACTAAATACCAAATTTGGAGGCTCTAGCTCTTAAGCTGAAAGAGAAATAATTGAATAATTTCAAGTGTCTAGCTCTTATTGATGTTGAGATCGATGCGGTCACACATTCGAACAGACGGCAGGGCTGAATCGACTCGGCTTGTCGTACTGATCAAGAATATATATACTTCATGGGGTCTGCCATGTCTCCTACCGGTTACATACATTTAACAAAACTCTTATACACTGATTTTCAATTTTCAGTGGGCTCTGGGTATAAAAATTATGAAAATATACAAAAAATGCTGCATATATATAGAACTTTATAGAACTTACCACTGATATTAAACCATAGCTGGTCATTATCTTCATCAATTGCCTGAATTTGTGTCACCAAAAATCCAGGTTTATCATTTTCCGTCAGATCTACAATATTATTTATTGACTTCTTCGCGATTGTAGGAGAGTTCGGTGAATTTGATGATATAGGAAGGACCAGTATATTTACTAATGCAGTTTGACTCTTTTTAGGGGTCCCACTATCTTCAGCTTTAACATTAATTTCAAATTCAGAGTCTGCCTCGAACGTCTTTGTAAAAAATATATGCCCGCTAAAGCTATCAATACGAAACTTATTTTTCTTCTTTCCAGACTTTATTGAATATGTTATTCGACTGTTTTCCCCGTCATCGTTGTCAATTGCGTGAACCTAAAATTAACGAGATCCGGTACAGTTACATATAACAGGCAGTATATATTATATATTATAAAAAATATACATAATTTATGTTTTAAATCATTCTTTAGTTTAACCATAAATAACACTGTGAAACTTATACGTACTTGAAATATAGATTCGTTTATATGTGTCGTCGATGGAACTTGTACTTTATAAACACGTTGATCAAACACTGGGCTATTATCGTTAATGTCTAAAACTGATACCACCACGCGTGTAGTAGATGTCAATACAGGAGATCCGTTGTCTGATATAGATATCTGAAATTCAGTGAAAAAATAGTGTTATATCTATTTCTATATATATATTATATATTTATTAAACAAGTAAACATATAAAAGTATATGTGGGAGTGCCCGATAACGACATAACCTGTTTTTTTACCTACATACATAAAATCGCAATATATATATATACTGATCCATATAATAGATAAATCTGTTAAAAAAAAATCAACTAGTAAATGCACATTCCAAATTTAAAAACAAATTAAAATTCTAAAAAAAACTCTATCCACACCAATGTTCTATCACATATTTTGGTCACCACCTTAACTAACACTGTTATACTCAGCAACAATTCATCACAGGAATGTATATATTGGAGCTGAACATGCCTCCTTCATTATATCTTAAGAAATTTGTTATAAAATTAATTCTCTGTTATAAATTAACGGGTTTACTTACCTCTAAAATATGTTCGGCTTGATTCTCTCTGTCAAGTTTTCGTTCTGTCGTTCTAAGCACTCCTAAATATATGTAATTTATATATAATTGATTATAACAGATTTTTTTACATTTATAAATGTTTTTTTGTGTTCACCTGTGTGCGGATCTATGTCGAAATATCCAATAAGATTTCCAGAAGTAATACTGTAAGTAATTTTTTGTGATGGATCCATGTCGGGATCTGTTGCTTTGAGTTGAATAATTTCATTTTTTCCAGAGCTACCTTCTGTTACATTTACGTAATAGACTGGCTTGGTTGTCAATGGAATGTTATCATTTTCATTTTCAATACTGATATAAACCTGTAACAGAAGAATTCATTTGTTTTTTTCTTACCCACATGCATAATTTAATTACTTATAAATTCTTACCTTAACACAATTACTAAGAGGCACGATAGCATTATCCTGAGCACATAGTGTCAGCCAGTAAAAACTTTTGGTTTCCGCATCCAGTTGTGTTAAAGAATGAATTGATCCTAAAGCAGAACTTACTTTAAAACTGTTTACTAGTATCAGTTTCGTCTTACCTTGATTATTTACAGAAAAAATGCCAAGTCCATCACCACCAGTGATTGAATATGAAATTTTAGAATTAAGATCCATTGGGTCCATGTCCCGAGCGGTAACATTCATGACTAAAGTACCCTTTGGCATATTTTCCTTTATTTTTCCCTCATAAACAAAGTCTTCAAACTCTGGAGCATATCGGTTTTCATTTACATCAATTATTTCAAATACGACGGGCATGTCAACCGTTAATGATGGGACTCCACAGTCTATTGCGCTCACAACAAGGTTATGTACTTGACGATTTTCATAATTTAAATATCCGTCTGTGCGTATAGCACCAGTGTGCTTATCAATTTTAAAAAGATTCTGCTCCTGTGCATCCTCTTTCAGTGAGAATAGTATCTCTGCATTTCTCCCCATATCCTTGTCAAAGGCTTCAATAACAGCAACCACAGTCCCTCTAGGTATGTCTTCGCGAATTTTGAAAATATACTCTTGTACTCCGAATATTGGTGCATTGTCATTGACATCATTAACTAAGACATATACCACTGCTTCTGCTGATAATACAGGATACCCATAATTTTTTGCAATAATATGTAGTTCATATTTATCTGTCTGCTCTCTATCTAATAATTCATTTAGAACAATGCATCCACTAGTTTTGTTAATAACAAATTCCTTGAATTCGACAGATAGGGTATAAATAATTTCGGAATTGATTCCCAAGTCAGCGTCTGTTGCATGTACACAATATACGATAGTTCCTTTTGGTGCATCTTCTGCAAGTTGCACTGTAGCTAACGATTTTTGTAAGACAGGGGCATTATCGTTTGCATCTATTATTGTTATGGGAAGTATTTTTGAGTCCGATTTTGTCGGCTGACCTAGATCATAAACTGTAAGGTTTAAAATATATTCACTTAGCCGTTCTCTATCCAGGTAGCCAATAATCTGTAGTTCCCCACTGTCAGGGTCAATGCGAAACACCGAATCGTAATCACCATCTGCAATTGCAAACACGAGTTTTCCATTATATCCCAGATCTCGGTCTCTGGCCTCGATCACAGCCACCGTTGTACCTAATTGAATACTTTCATTTAAGGTAAGTTCTTGAGGAAAATTTATAAATTCAGGTCTATGAATGTTTTGGCCATATCGACTGGGTGTAAGTGCCAAATCGTTAACTTCAAAAAATGACACATTCCTCATATTGTTTTTCTCGGCCAATGCTAATGTTTCTGCAAGTCTTCTTGCTACACCTGTTTCTCGACACTCAAACGTTCCGTAGCCGTGCAGTATATTGCTGTGGTCCCTTGCGTAATCAACATCAAGATGTACATTGATACTCAACTCATCGGAGAAATGACTGCCATCTGTGGCAGATACTCGTAGCACTCTATCATTTACAGCAACATCCATTAAATTGCAGCCGATTGATATAGTTCCTGTGATTGAATCTAAGTTAAAGCAACCATCTTCATTTCCAGATATTGAACGATATGATATGACATCCCCCACATCAAGATCAACTGCAGAAATTGTAAATACTTCAGAGCCAATCGGCGCCGATTTTATTACTTTCCCATAACAATTAATACGCTCAAATTGTGGCCTGTTATCATTGATATTCCTTACAATAATATCTAAGGAAATTTCTGTTTGCCTTCTGTATGGTAATCCCCAATCTGATGCACGCACAAGCAGTGTATAGTTTCTTTGCATTGTTTCATAATCAATTAGGTTGGTTGTCTTAATAATTCCAGAAAAGTGGTCAATTTCAAATGGAACTTCATTAAGATTTGCTATACTATAGGATATGTATGCATTTTCCCCGGAATCCTTGTCTTTCGCTGTGAGCTTTACAACAAATGAACCGGCTAATTCATTTTCATTTATTTCTATAATGCTATTAATGTTTTCAAAAATTGGATCATTATCATTCATATCGTCGATAGTAATTTTTACTTTGGCAGATGATTGTTTCCGGGATCCAACATCCGCTTGATCAATGGCAGATACAGTTAATATGTAACTCGATTTTGTTTCAGCATCAAGTCGCTTTTGTGTATATAGCATTCCTGAATCTGGATTTATTCGGAACTCTCCTCCTTCATTGCCTCCTACAACTTCCAAATACACCAAAGCAAATTTTCCTAAATTAGGGTCGCTAACCTTAAGTCTAATAACTGGCATGTTAATCGGAGCAGTTTCCGGAATAGAAACTTCGTATATTTCTTGTGTAAATATCGGAACATTTTTTATTTCCGGAAGTATTTGTATCGTAACAGTTTTAAATGTAGATCTGGGTGGTCTCCCAAAATCTTCAGCTCGTAGTGTTAAGTTATAGGTGAAAATTTGTTCATTTAACTTTGCGAATCTATTTAGTTCAATATAATATTCATGTTTAGTAACCGCAGGAATTAATTGAAATGTACCGTCTGGATTTCCATCTAGTATTTCCAACTTTTTTATCTCCCCATTTTTTCCAATATCTTTATCATGTACCTTTACTATACCGTAGATAAGAGAATTTGGATTCGGAATCACACTCGAAAATGTTTTAACATAAATTTCAGGAGCGTTTAGATTGACCTTTAAAAAGAAATAACATATTATTTTTAAAAGTTAATTGCAGTTATTGAGTCAAATTAATCGGGTTTCCGTATGTTTTTATCAGACCCTGCACATATTGAAAATGGAAAATGTAGCTATAATTATTTTGCAAGGCCGAAGAAGGCATGAAGTATATATATATTAGTAATCAGGACGATAAGCTGAGTCTACGTCTGGCAATCAACGTTAAGCGTCCGCATATTCTCTAAACGCGTGCACACATTCACTTAAATGTGTGCATTTTTTAGATATTCAAATAATCGCAATTGTGATCGAAATGTGATCGAATTGTGATCGAATTGTGATTGAATTCAAGCAGTGGCGAGCAACGAGCGGAGTTGGTCTAGACATGTCAGACTATCAGACTATGTGAACGCAACGTTAAGTGAATACACGTGACAACTTATCCCATTTCTTTATAATGTTTTGGTCACATTGTTAAATTGTGAGCAGAAGTGCAAATTTTAAATAAATTAATTTTTGAATATTTGTGCAATTATCCGCGATTTAATATCCATTAAACTAAATACAACATTTAAAATAAACGAGATATAATTGGATAATCGTTTAATACAGCTTTATTTTATAATTATTAGTAACAAATTTAGCCTGCCCGCACTGACTGACCTTATCATTAATTTTAATTCAGACGAACTAATGAACAGACGGGCAGGACTATTGTCGTCGATCTGATCAAGAATTTATCTGCTTTTTGAGGTATTTCACACTTTATTCTGGCTATAACATACATTATAAAAAAGCTTTTATACTCTGAATTCCCATTTTTAATGGGTTCGGGTCGAAATATAAAAACTGGTAAATAATCGATCATTGAGTTACTGTTGACGTCCTCTATTGATCGCATACAAAGTATTTTAGATATTATTTTAATATTATGTTAGTTTATGAATGAACAATTCTTTGTATAACAGTGAACTTATTAAAAACAATAAATAGTAAGCAATAAACATTATGTTTTAATTACCTGTTTTACAGTTATTAAAACTTTCGCTTTGCTGGCCTGATGAGATTGTTGGTTTATAGCCGCACCCCTGTCCTTGGCTAACACAGTAAGCTCATAGTGTGAATTCTCTGCGTAGTTAAGCTGTCGTAGAATGGTTATATCTCCGGTAGTTGGGTGAATAGCGAAACTTTCGCTGTCTATTAAAAAACTATAATAGATTTCACCATTGATTCCAAGGTCAGCATCATCAGCAAGAACTTTTAAAATACTGTCATGTTTTGGAGTGTCCTCAGGAACGGTTACCGCATATTCAGTTGGATAAAATAATGGACTTAGGTCATTTCGATCTAGTACTTTTACATGAATCGTCGTCTCAGTTTCATAGATTGAATTATTTTTACCATAGGAATAAGTAATATGCGCGCGAACTTTTAGATTATATTCCTCAGTTTTTTCTCTATTTAAAACGACATTACTCGTTCGCGTTCGAATAGTTAAGAAGGCAAAGTTCCCAACAAGTCTTTCTTCAGCTTTAAAAAGTTTATCCTTATCGCCACTTATTATCCTATATTTAACATCGTACTTTGAATCTATTATAATCCCGGCCAAGTCCTCGTGTAATACTCCTTTAGCGTATGTTTTTCCAAGACTGTTTTCTGGTATTGTAACATTATATAACTGATGGCTAAAGTCTGCCAAAGGGGCCTTGCGATGAGAGAGGGTAGCTCTGACTGCATCGTCCGTTGAAAATGAAGGTTGAACAAGGCAAATAAAACTTATTAACGATGTCCACTGAAGTAACAAATACTTTTTTTTCTTAACAGTATGGGCATAAATTTTTAAATGCATATTAGACATTAGCTATTTTTTTCCACATGGTATTCAGTCCTACAAATAAACGACCAAGAATAAAAGTAAAATAATTAAGACCATTTTATTAAATATACTTGTTTTTTATATGAGAATCTTAGAAAAAGCTTATGACCATGTCATGCTTGTTTTAAATTAGAATCCACGTAGAAGATTATAAATAGTTCTGATTTTTTATACTTGTTATTAGACAAACTAGAGATGTGCACTAAAGACAAATTTATTTATGTTCCTCAAAAGGAAATTTCATAAAAATCATACAAATCTTATTGTCGCTGAATGACTAAAACCCTAATCGATGAAATAATAATATGATCAAACACATTAAATGTATGATTTTTGGATACACTGATATTTAATTAGCGAAAGCCCATGTAGCATGTAGCTGCCAGAAAGAAGAGTTTCCTACTCCACGATTGCATACATTATGATTTATGATGACTATATGAGCCGTGTTCCTTCAAGAATCTGTTTGATCGCATCGGTTTCGAAAGCTGCACATTAAAATAGTATAATTTATTTAGTATTTAATTTTTTTATTTTAATTATGAATATCTCAGCATATTGCAAACACCCTGTTTTTAAAAGTGTGGTCTTTTTACAATCTGTTTAAATGTTCTTTCATATTCTTATTTAAATACTGTATGATGGAGTTCTGGAATAGCATAGCTGATGCACAACATGATATTTGGGTGTACTTCGTAAGCTAAAACTATTTAAACTGAACCTAAATCTGAAGCTATTAAACATTGCAAATTGCTGTTTAAATGCGAACTGAAATTATATTTGGCCGTGATAAATATTTTAACGATATAGAAGTTTACTTATTTGCATATTTCTCCCCTCTTTGGAGCTAGAGTCAGTCTATTTTGCATAAGGTAATATTAAGTTCATATAGTTTTTAATTATTTAATTTTTTGTATTTCAAATTGAAGATTAATGGCAAATAGAAGTAAACAGTTTGAATTTCGAAATATATAAAAATGAAACATGTGAGTCATTTGTTAAAAAACATAATTTATCAACTTTTCAACTTTATGGAGTGTAGCGATCGCAGAGGCTATGACTAAATCTTACCTAGTCGCGGAGACTTAGATTCGAGTCCTATACATCTTGTAAATAGCTAATATGCTTGAAAAGGCAGATAAGCCCGGGTTCAGATTAACTAAATCACTTCGCATTAAACTAATAATGGCATTCGAAGCGTACTGTCTCAACGGCTAGGATTTACAATGATTCGAATCTGAAAAGTTATCACCTCAAGCCACCTAATTATCTAATGCGAAATCCATCCTTCGTTACTTCATTATTGAAAAGTAAATTGTTTTCAATTCAATTGTTTTCACACTCGGATATAGCAAACACTTCGGAACAGTGTAGTCTATTTCTTGGACACTACATCAATTTAGTTCGGGTCTAATCTTATTTATACTTATGCAAATTTTATATATTCAATATTAAACTTGAATAGTTCATAATTTTGTAATCCACACTAGGGCTTAAAACTTTATACACATGCCTTAATTAAGGAGCACTATTAATAGACATATTTTGTGCCTAGAATATGTATATAATTTTACTTTTGGATTTTTATTAAAGAAAACATAATTTAAGTTATTATTTATATTTGTTTATATTTGTATTATAGAATATTTTAATTATTTGTATTAATAATTTAGTTTTTTCTTTAAACTGTTTTAATTCAGTTTTTATACAAGATAAATTTTTCTCATTTATATTTTCACGAAAGGATATATGATATCAACGATTAAAAACTATTGCACCTGATTACAAGTCCTTTTTTTTCAACTGTTTGATATTGACTTTTATATCGTAAATATTGTTATCACTGTTATCATTATGTTTAAAAATAGAATTAAACGCATAAACGCTCGCACATGTGTGTTCACTTTTATGAAAATGATTTGCACTGTGTGAACAGTTGTTGATGTCGACTTAATTGTTGATGTTTGGCAAGAAATTGAGCCGGTGAATTTTTCATCTGTTGTTAATTGATTTAAGTTATATTGAAGTTAGAACCAGTATTCTTCATATTCTTCATGTATGGAATTTGTTAAGTGACACGAAATCCAATTTGTGATTTAGTTCATGATGCGTGGTTTTAGATTTGAATAAACCGAACTTAATAAAAATTAACACTTTCATCAATCAAAATGTATTCACTATTTTTGGAATTTTATTCAAATTTTAATGGATTATTATAAATGTTTATTTGTTATGATTAAAAATAGCATGAAACGTATGTTTGCTTGTATGTGACGTATGGTAAACATTTTACTGTATATCGCAAAGGGAGTTAATGCAGGTAGATCGGTAGTTATCGATGATTTCACGATCGCGGAGTTGCCAGATGTTATTAGTTCACATTACATGTATAGTTATGATTTACTAAAAAACATCTTCGACGCCAGTTGTAACTCAACACTTCAAAATTGGTAGCCAAGAATCTTAAAAATATATTAGCATTGAATACCGCCCGCGCTTTGACTGATAAACCCACCTGGGCTAATTTCGCAAGATTATCCATACTCATATACAATCAAAGTATTAGGTTGTACACTCATTCACACATACACATACATACCGATAATAAAAAATTAAAACAAACAAATGCAACCATTTTCAATGGCTCTGGAATTTAATGTTGCCTACGAAATCTCAAAAATGTGTTTAGCGCCTATTTATAATAATAAAGCACAGTACGTTATCAAACTACGAATTAAATTAAAAACACATTTAAACAGGCTGAGCCGCATTCATAATGTTTCTTCGCAAGAAATTCTTAATGTACATATAAATGCATTGACATATGAACATGGATTAAGACCTATATATTTTATTTGTTAGTTTGTATATGTGTACACGTGTGTATTTTTTAAAAATTATTTTCGTACTTTTTAAATATTTTTTATTTCACAGAACCCACGTCAAACACATCGCATTTGTGGTTATTAAAACCAAAACTATTGTATGTATGTAACGTAGACACAGTTCGTTCAATTTACTAAATATCGTCCGCGGCACAAAACCGCACGTATGAACCGCGCCAGAGTGTGTAACTAACTGTGGGAGTCTTGCTCGATGCTCAAACATGAGCGAACACCATCAATCCTGTTTGCCCACTTAACCAACATTAACAGACCATACCAAAGAGAACAGTTTTAATAACATGTTAACATGCTGTGTGCTTCTTAGCGTTAACTATGCGGCTGCATTAACTTTCTCTGAAACATAACATTAACAGCTTGCAACATGTGTATTGGCATGATTAGCAATACTGGGTTATGTAAAGAAGTCTGTTAACTTAACACTGTGACGTCATATGGGGAAATTGTGCGCGCGCGCTCTCTCTGTTTTAAATGAATCAACTTCGACTGTATTATTTACCTTAAGCAGCCAGAACTCGAAATCCAGAAATGTGAATAATTCGTGGCTATATTTAGATTCTTAAAATGAACAGTATAATTTTTAACTATTTAAAGTGTTATTATTTAATTGCTGCCCACGCCTTTTTTCATTTTACGGAACTGTTCACGCTGCTGCAGGTGTCAGTAGCATCTTTATTGATGGCCCATAAACGAGTATTATATTTAAGTATTAAAATAATTTTCCATAAATAAGCATTCTTTCTTATATACCATCCATTTGGGTATTAGGTCTCTAGCCAGAATCTACTTAGTTTAATTTTTAAGACAATCTGAGAAAAGGACTCACCATTTTTCTGATACTTAGAATATGTTATTAAGTACTTTTTGGTTGCTTTAAAGACTGTGGGAGCTCTGTTTAAGTGAGCGTCAAACTTCAGATAGGATAACAGAGCATTAGGCGAAAATGTGACGTCACTAACATAATTTTTGGTTAACATTGTATGCCGCACTGAATTTTTTAATAGTGGGAAATTTATATTACAAATGAATAATAATTCCCATACCAAATAAAACAGGGGCAATATAGGGATATCAAACATAGCCAGCAAAGACGCAAGCCTTATATTGCTCACATTTTCAAAGTTATTTAGACAAGAACCTAAATGAATTTCTCTTTAGCTTAATAAAATGCTGATATTAATTTTAATATGGCAACATCCTTAGATAGCCAAACATCTCCCGGATGTGCTGTCTATTAATATTTAATTTGTGTCGCTCAATATAATGTATAAAAAAATGTATTTTCCCACCTTTAAACTAAAGAAAAATAATTGCGCCAATACACAATAATAATCGATTATTCACTGCAATTCTTAGTCCATTTTGAAGAGTAGGCGATTGTCCATAACTGATAAATTTGGTTCGTGAGCTAGTACCGATATCACGTAAACTATTGTAATTGTGTAGAGTGTATTGCTTATATTTAATAAAATACGCAATCAACTACAACAGCGGACTGCAGCACCTTGCTTGGGCCTTGATACGATAAAGAGACCAAGATTAGTAGACCTACTAACAATTTCTTATATTTGCTTCGACGAACTATATTAGATAATATATTTTATCTGAAAAAATAATGTAAATTATGATAAGTAGAATCAATCAGAAGTACAATTTTGCATTAAGTCTAAGTTTTATAAAAGAACTTTTGACCAATAAAGCCCAAGTAAAATTGTACTGTCTTAAATACAATACCAAAGGAATTGGGCAAATCAGCTTTGAACCCGAACCAGCTTGACTAAAACACTAGTTCATATGCAATTATCTTACGATTAAACAGTAATCGGGACTAAGCCTTCAACCTCGACTTAACCTGATTCCATGCCTTCTATGCGGCACATTTATTTTATATTTTGATTCATTGCAAATCTTATTTTTATTATTTTTTAATACGCTGGTATAAAAAAAATTTCAGCTTACATTTCTGTTCCCATTGTCTTTAATACACAATTAACCTGGATTCTTGTGAATGCGAGCGTCGTGCATTCAAGACGGAGTTGTTCTGCTTCTTCTTCGCCCTCTTTGGTGCACATGAACTTTATATTGAAAATGGTAGTTTCTAGAATAAATGTAGTGAATAAATATTAATTAATACATATTAAAGAGTTACTAAAATAAAATAAAGTGTATTTTGGATCACGATCTATCCATGTCTGTCTGTCCATCCACAAAAGCTAGGGCCTTGAAATTTAAGTGTATACTCGTGTATACCATAAGCAGTACGAGTTTATCATGCTCTTAATGCAAAGCTTCGACGGCATCCATGGTCTGGAAGAATCTGTGATAAATACAAATTAGTCATGGTACGATTATTTTCATGGTTAATTGTGTGTGCTCACCATTCTGAGGACCATTCTGAGGATTATGGGCACTGCGTCAGCCGAGGATGCGCAAAATTCTTGACTTTATCTAGGAGTTGTCTTTGTGTTTGAATAGCGCATGGTAAAGCAATAATTACTCTTGTTACTCGATTATGACCGTTTCTACTTTCTTACTGCTTCGGACTAGTACAGTTCCGTTTTATGGGCCGCTAACCCGAGCTCTGCTCCTTCTAGCCAATCTCATATGCAACTAATAATTAAGCTGCACATAACCTCTGTATCTATGAGCTTATTCATTATGGCAACGCCGGCTACAACACCAACCCCAAAGGCAGCGTGCCTGCAAGTAGTTCCATGTTGTTATTGGACATAAGCTTATGCATTTTGTTGCTTTTGTCGGAATTGTGGCCGATGGTGACTCTAAACTCTTAATATTTAAAAGTTTTCCGACATAAAATATTTTATAAGAAAAGTAACATTTTTCTATATATCATTATAGCTGATAAAAATTGTGTTGGGAAATTGTTCTCGAAGTGTATCATACAGTTGTATAAGTAATTCATAAAAATCTAAAAATATTAAGACCTTTAGCAAACCAGTTGCAGCCATTTTATTTTAATGGAAAAGCTGTTCCAATTCCATTCAGGTTTTCATTTTTGCCAGTACACTTTTTAATATTTTTTAATATCGTGAACCGCATTTCGACGGCTCGACGATAGTTAGAGTAATCGATACTGTCGACTTGTACATCGATTGTTTAGCAGCTACAGTGCGGTTCATGGAGTAAAAGGGCTGCGAAAATATGATTGAAATAAACAAAACTGCAATTGGAATTGCAGCGGGTCTGGCTGGAACCTTATTCATTGGTTATTGCATTTATTTTGACAACAAACGCCGTAGTGAACCAGACTACAAAAAGAAAGTGCGCGATCGTAAGTAAATTCTGTATGATGCAGTGTGCATATTTTTATCTATAATATTCATATATATATATATTTATACATATATATATATATATAAATATCACTTATACAGGTCGTCGGCGTAACCGCAAGGCTGGATCTGCCAAGCAGGGAATGCCAAATTTAAATGACCACGAAGCTATCGAAAGGTAATGTTGAACTATTGAATTTCTATATTACATAACGAAGGATGCACGTGCGTGAGCTCATGTATTTACATGAACACATACAAAGCTTCGCGCACATGTACATAACATTTTTACTACAGGCTTTAAGCAGCAAGCATATGAAAGTGTTAAGTTATTTACTAAGTAAATCAATGTTTCAGTTACATATATCATAGCTGTATAGCCTAAAAAATTCTCCAGGGCCTAATAATGCGAATTTGTGTGTTACCCAGATATTTAATTTTGTAGATTTTTGTATACGAATTCAGAATAATTTGCTGTTTGGAATCATAATTGTAAACAACTAAAAATGCAATGTAAGCCTTATTTGAGGAAAACGTCAAGCACTGTTCTGCAAATGGTTGATCAAATTACTTGTGTGGTAATGTTAACGTAAGCAGAAATGTCTTAAATGTCTGCTTGGTTGGTACTCGGTAGTCAATCAATTAATGTTCAAGGGTATTTTATTATATGTGTGGATATATATGCATATATACAAACTTATACGCAGTTGCATTTATATAAATAGCATCACTGGTGTACCACACATGGCATAATATTGGTAGGAAGTAGATTTTCAGCATATAAAATAATGGATTTCATGTGGTCTTAGTATGTTTAGCGTATAACCGTGATGTCATGCCTTTCCACAAGTGATTGCCCAAGAAATAACTAGTCTGCAATTAAAGGTGGCAAATAAGGTTCTGCCTTTTCCAATGTAATCATTTCTGTGTTGGTTTTACATTACGTATCTGGATGCTGTACCGTTTTTTTTCATAGTAGTGTGTTCATATTTTAATGACGTATTTTCGATCCTTTAGTATGACTAATTCGAAAATCCAAAAGCGTCATCCACGAAGTATTATTAAATAAAAATAAAATCCATAATCAGAATACAGAATCCTATAAAATGTAAAAAGTTATTAGGACTCGAAGAACCTAAAGCAATTTTCTGTTGATTCAGTGAAAATTGCTTGGGAAAACAGCTTGGCTTCTGGTATTGTTTAGAGCTAGTCTTAAAGGTGTTAGATATAATGCGTTGAAAATGTGCATGTAGAGTATAATGATTTTGTTATATGTATTTAACAGGCAGAAGGCGGCGTGGCAGACACCCTAAAATGTATATATTCTTGATTTGGGTGACAAGCTGAGTCGGTTTAGCCCTTTACGTCCGTTCATCTATCAGTAGGTAAACCTGGAATTTTTTTTGTCCGTTTATAGCACTCGCATATTAAATTAGTTTCACAATTTATAAAGGTTATCGTTTTAATAATATCGATTAAAAACATGATCTAAATGCAGTTATTAAATATAGAACGGCATAACAGACGGAGTCGCCAAATGTAGTATTTAGTTATATGAATATTTTATACTATTATGATTTTTATTTTATTTTGGCTACCGGCTCAAAATGTTCCCAAATTCTATAGTTTTGCATCATTATGATAATAAAAGTTAAATCCATCCGGGGCTTTCAAATTACATTTTATTCATTGGAACAAACTACATAGTTCAACTGGTAAGACCAAGTCATATGCACTTGGACTATATTTGCTACGAAGCTTATTGAGTGGCGGTTTATTTTTGTCTTTAGTTTTTTGTAAGATATTTACAGCTTTGCAAATAAAACTGTCGACCTTTGAAAATCTTGACTCACGAGCATTTTTTCCTTTGATACTTACACGCCGATCCATACTACCTGTTGCCGCTAATTAAGTTTTTTCATATATTCAAGAATCAAAGTTAACTTCAATAATTGATTTTTCCCCAGAGATAAAGCTACATACTTTCCCATTGTAACTTTTTCGTAAAGACAATTTTTTTAGCCTATTTTTGGCACACATTGATCTAAATATTGATAATTGATTTTGGGGTGTTATCCTGATGGCGCAAAATATATATATACAAATATAACGGTTCTTGCATCGAATTTAATTTTTTCTGTCAGAGAGACCATATGAGGATAGCAAACCTAAATAAAAAATCTAAGCTTTTTCGTGCATTAAGAAAGTTGAAATTAGAAGTAAAGAAGTGAGTAAAAGGGTTGATGACGAGCGTTATATATATAATATAATAATCATAATTTGGGTTGGGAAAAAAATATAATTTTATTTTTTGAAGTTTAGGTAAATTAAGACTATTCCAATAGCTAAACGCTTAACAAACCTCGGCTATGAGCTCTTATAAGTCAGAAAGAAGAATATTGAAAGAGAGTATCTATCAGCCGTGATTTGTGCCACATCCGCAGTTTTAATCCCAATGTTGAGAATAACGATTATTCTTATAATGCTTACATTATTTTCAAGGGGAAGGAGTTTGATATAATTATCATAGTGGATTGTAAGCAGAGTGTGAATGCATAAGTCACTATATATAATATAATCGAGGTTTTTGAATGGCTCAATGGGACTACACTGACGATTGAGAGTTCGGCTGTAATTTATGGATGGATTTGCTGAGTGTCGTGATTTTTTTGGGTTATGCGTAAGTGACTTGATCACTCATGATTGGTCACTTAGAAATATGCAGTGTTCCCACAAGAAGGGTGTAATGTGATCTTTTGTTTTTGGGACTTTGACTGTGGGTATGTGTGAGTATGATTTGTTTAATTGTGGATGTGCCTTATAAAACATTTCTTTGAGATTGACTTAAATTTAAAAATAGCAAAAAATGTGAGGGTTTTTTAATTACAAAAGTAATAGTTATAATATCGAATATTGTATTTTGTTGTTTTTTTTTTTTCTAAAATTATTTGCTTTGTTTGGAGGTACGATAGTTATAGTTGTATAAACAAATTTAATTTTTTTATTATAATGGAGTACAATTCTTTATTTATAATTAGGAATCGAGTTGTAGTTGATTAAGGGCTAAGTGGGACTGAACTAGAGATTGAGAGTTCGTTTGTCATTAATAGGTAGATTTTCTGATAATGGCGTGATTTGAGCTATCGTAAGTGGCCTGATTGCTCATGATTGGTCACTTCGAAATATGCTGAGTTCTGGGTTCTCACAAGAAGCGTGTGATCTTTTGTTTTTGGGGCTTGGGAACTTTGGCTAAAATGGATGATGGATTAGGATCGTAAATAAACTTTGTTGATCTGTTCGAGTGTTGGTATATACATTACTGGTGGATTTACTAATTCACCATCCTATAGAGATAAGCCTGTCCTCAGGCGGGAAATGTAGGGTATAGTTATGAAATAGGTTCCGGGGGTAGTTGTTCCTCTGGTGTTGCATTGTTTTGTATATATATAATGTTTTCTGCAGATATTATGAGTAATGCAGATATTATGAGTATTTCATTAGTGTTTGATTTAAACCAAGTGGAAGTGTTAATGTTTAGAAGCTTTTCTTAATTTATATCTATTATGTGCTGGTGTTTTAAAAGTTTGAGATTGGAGATTTTTAATCTGGTTAACTACATTTCTAGTTCAATATCTTCTATATATTCAGTGAAGTGTTTTAGGTTGTACATAAGATAGTCTTAGTTTTTTTTTTCTGCTACTCGTGAGATGCTTAGGTTACTAAGGAATTCTGTTTTTATATACTGCATTTTTATATACCCATTTTATGCTTTAATTTTGATCTAGAGTTCCAAGGATATATTTATTTACTGTACCTACGGAGTTAAGTAGACCTCGCTTATTTCTTTTGATGATTTGTATTCCATTAATTTGATGGTTTAATTTTTCTACTACATACTGTATGTGGGCAATGTTTTAAAATTATTCTGCTTGTTTGAGTAAGCTTACTGTTAGCTAATGGTATCCGTAGTCAGATGGTAAGTCCTTTGTTGCTGTCTTGAATTAGTGTAATTACAAATGTTATAGTTGATATAATGTTGAATGCCTTATTATATTTTGTGTTGTTTGGAGGTACCGATATTGGTTCTAATTTGGTCACATTATTTGTTCCATAGATATTTTGGGTGTAATCTCATAGTATGTTTACAATTGTATCTTCATTTATTTGAACTCTACAGTCGTATATCTAATTATATTATTACCTTCAATGTGAATGTTGTTTTTATTTCAATTCCGGGCAATTTCATTAAATGGCTCTGTTTGTTCGTATAAGTCGTTAGAGGTAGTTTGTATTTTGGTTAGGTTTACTGTAAGATAGTGGAATTCATAGTTGGATGGTAGGTTCATTGTCCCTGTCTTGAAGACTAAGTAACCGTTTGGTGCTTTAATTTGATTATAAGTGATTTCTGAAATGAGTTGTTATATTTGCTCTCTTTAATTTTCTTTTTCCTTTTTAATATTGACTCGTAGTGTGTTGTCTGTCTACCTTTATTAGCTTCTATGAAGTGATTTTCTTCTCTATTTGTGTTATTAAGTCTGTTTTCTTAAATGGTGTAGTTGTTTTAATTTTAACTAGTCGGCGTGTTTGTTTTCTTTGTTTATATCAAAATTGATTCTGTTTTTATTGAGGTTTTCAATTTTGTTTTTCCTATTTGCTTGTAAATAAATATGTCTGCTGAAGTTCTGTTCGTTGTCAAGTGTTTTGTCTTGTGGTTGTGGGTGTAGTTTAATTTTTCAAATTCGCTGATTGTTCGGTGAAACCTTTCTATGTCGGAAATACCCTTGTTTTGCTAGTTGTGATGTTAATATTTACTTTTTCGAATTTTAGCCAGTTTTGAAGGGCTGCGCATATAAATCTGAGTCTGTCTGTATTAATTTTGGTGGGCTTCCCCACTCTTGCTCTTTTAGTTTCGAGCAAATCACGGCTTTTGACTTCTACTAAGTATCCGTATTTTTTTTAATATATGTCAATACAAGATATGAATTATTTATTATCAATTAGATAAAAGTCCATGACATATTTTTATCTAGGGTTATCTACTTCTGGACTGACTTCCAAAGTTAATTTAGTGTTCCTGTTTTCAGATTTGGGTAGATTACAAATTTCGCATTCGTTAATGATATTTTGTATTAATTTTTGGTGGTCTGCAATGCAACCCACTAGGAATCTAGGTTTGCTGTCGTTTAAAGGCTGAATGGGACTACGCTGATGATTGAGAGGTCGACTGATACTTGATATGTTATAGCGGATAATGTAAAAATATAAATTCTATATATATATAAATTTAGTAATGTATTAATTTGAGTGACAGATTCTTTATTTCCCTCGAATGCAAGCAAAAAACTTCAAAAATATTCTTTCTTCTCGCGGTATGCAATGTACAACGAAATGTAAACGCTTATTTCCGCGATCTTATTTTATGGTCCGGCGGCGGAAGCTCGGGGTCCAATTAAGTTTATTTGTCTTGTTGAAGAACCTATAATGATCCAACTTTGGTTGATATTGTGGTCGTCCGTGTCTTGTCCCGCTACGAACCGTAGCGGGATCTCTTCTTGATTGTTATATACTGATCTTGCGGATCAGCACTGAAACATAATTTAACGGCTAGTTGACTGCGCTACAAAGTTATATTGCTACAATCGGAAAGCTGACCCTATATAAGTGATAATGCGGATCTTGCACCTTGTGCAATTGTAATATATAACAAATGGTATTTACGCCAGCGTGCTGGAGTAATGCAAGTTTATTCTTATTTCAAAAATGTCAAATACAAAATTGAATTGTAGTACAAAATTGTATTTGCAGTATCTCAAAAATGAGCTCATGTGTCAGCGGAACTTGTGTGGAGCAAATGGGTTTCTTTTTTGTTTGCGGTAACTTATACATTCAACTAACGTATTTAACTGAAATACATTTTGTTATATACAACAATTCATCATTAATTTTGTGTCTGAAGAACGATGTAGATCTACTGATATACATATATATAAATCTGTAAATATTTTTATGAACATAACGTTAAACTTAACGTTGTTGGAGACTTAAAAATACCTTTATTAGTCAACTCTTTTGCCTTTGAACTTGGTTCTAATATAAATAATCTATGACTAATATATTTTTATAAATTTCAGATATTTTCTTCAAGAAATTCAGCTAGGTGAAACCTTGATAGCTCGTGGCGATTTCGAAAGTGGTGTTGAACATTTAGCAAATGCAATCGTAGTATGTGGTCAACCCGCGCGCCTACTACAAGTGCTTCAATCCTCTCTACCGGCTCAAGTATTTGCTATGTTAATAATCAAAATGCAAGAATTTGGTAATAAGGCTTCAGAATCTAGGGAAGGATTGATCACTGGAACTCGCTCGAACCAAAATGACAGCTCTATAAATATTTTAGAAACTTCCGGATCTGCAGCCACTGATGACTTAGAATAATAATTACAAATGAACAAAGGAGCCTGGCATATATATTTCAACAAAGAATAGATAAGGGCTGCATATTCTAATTTAATAAAGTTCGATACATTTGTATTGTATAAATATTGAATTTTCAAATTAACTGATTCATTATGATAAGCATTAATTTTTATAATTATTTGTTTTGACTGCATTTCCGCTAAAATATTTATCCTGAAATTAGGTAAGATCGCAATTTCCTCTAAAGTTATTTAATATTTGACATATTGTCTGAAAATTTAAGATATACATAATCGCTACATATATCATTTCGAACTCACCCCCTTTTTAAAGTCATGATTGTTAGACCCATCTGCAAATAAAATTTCATTTCGGAACTACATTTAAAAGGTTCTTGGCAGCTTTTCCCAGCTACACTCGATAGTAAAAATTGCCAATGGACCCTCTATTACCTACAATATCTTCTAGAATTTCATTTACTTTGTGTTTGCCTCCTTGTTAAAGTCGGCCAAAAGACGGCCACTGGGCCCATCTACAAAACTATCCATCGGAGCACCATTTATTGAAAAATTTGCTTATTTGTGAAGATGAAAAGTAAAGACGGCCACTGGACCCATCTGTAAAAGCTTCCTCAGAAACACCATTTATAAAATGATTGGCAGCTTTGTAAAGGTGAAACTCTGCAGTTAAGATGGCCACTGGGCCCATATGTAAAAGCTTCCTCGAGCGCATAATTTATAAAGCGATGGGCATCTTTGTAAAGGTGAACTCTGCAGTAAAGACGGGCACTGGGCTTATCTGTAAAAGCCTTCTCGGGAGCACCATTTATAAAGTGATTGGTATCATTGTAAAGGTAAACTCAGCAGTAAAGATGGCCACTGGGCCCATAAGTAAAAGCTTCCTCGAGCGCATAATTTATAAAGCGATTGGCATCTTTGTAAAGGTGAACTCAGCAGTAAAGATGGCCGCTGGGCCCATCTGTAAAAGCTTCCTCGGGAACACCATTTATAAAACGATTGGCAGCTTTGTAAAGGTGAACTTTGCAGCTAAGATGGTCACTGGGCCCATCTGTAAGCTTCCTCAGGAGCACCATTTGTAAAGCGATTGTCAGCTTTGTAAGATGAACTCAGCCGTTAAGATGGCCACTGGGCCCATCTGTAAAGGCTTCCTCGGGAGCGTAATTTAGAAAGCGATTGGCATCTTTGTAAAGGTGAACTCAGCAGAAAAGATGGCCACTGGGCCCATCTGTATAAGCTTCCTCGGGAGCACCACTGGCCACTGGGCTCATTTGTAAAAGCTTATTTCGGAGCATCGTTTATTACGATTCCTGTTTCCATTTGTTCCTACCGAAACACCATTTATAAATCAGTAAGCATTTGTGTAAATGTGAACTCAGCGGTGAAAATGTCCAGAGTCCCAGCGGACTGACATTTAGTACTGGTATGTAAACCATCATTTTTGTAACTAAACATATGTTGCAGATTAACTGAAGAGTCATTTGCGGCAGATTTAGCACATTATACATTAAGATGTTCAAGAATTAGTTTTTGAGCGGTTTTAAACAAAACTAACTATTGATAATTATGTGATGTTGCCTTCTATCGCCGAAGGACACCTCGATCAAAGCCCGCAACAAGCATATGGAATTATCGCCTGTCCATTAATGGAAAGGGTAAGTAAACTTAAAGTGCCACTGGTAATTACAAATAAAAACAATTAAATTAGTCATAACGGTTTTTATAAACAAATACAACATGGAAACTATTGTATTTTATTACTTTATTTACCTGAGATACAATTTTTTCTTTATAAGAGTGGTATGCTACAGTTTTTTTTATTTATAAATAGAATCATAGCCAATTCATCTTAGTTTTTGTTTATAGAAATTAATTATTGTTCTTGATTCATATGCTGATGATTATATCCGCTCGTACGTTGATCCCGTTGATACTTAAATCGAGAAGCCAAATCGGTAGGAAGCTATTATTTAAAGAGAATATAACAACAGTCGGCATGTCGACTAAGCTCAAACGATAATGCTGCTAGACCAGCCGCATTCTGCTGTGTCAGCACTATGCGCGATTTAGGTAGGGTCCCTCTTGTAATAAAGGCTTTTCAAGAAACACGTCTGCTTCGTTTTGATTCTTGATTAGAAGTGATTTTATATTTTTTCCAGCACTTTGCTGTCGGCGGCAGTGCTGCTCATTACTGTCGCAGCATTCTCTGTATTCGGCGGCGGCAGAATTTTTAGGAATTATGGAATTCTTACGAATTGCAGCCTGCTGAATTGTAGGTTGCTGATTCGGCTTTGCGTCGGATGTTGCATGCTTGAAGTTGTTTCTATTTTGGATTTTGGGTATATAAATTATTGAGTTCCATCCGTCCAGGGTCCGCGTTAGGGGAAGCCGTCGTTCGGAGTACAATCTAGATCAATTTGGATTATGGATTCTGTTCGTCCAGGTTCCACGTTAGTGGAAGCCGCCGATCAGAGCGCAAGTTATATCAAATTGATAGGCAGATTATGATGGGATATAGCTAAGATTTCCAAATTACAGGCCTTGTGGCTCAGCAATATATTAATCAGCAAATGATTTTAGTAACGGCAGTGTGCCGGAGCAATGTGTGTTTATTCATAAAACTGTTGTACAGAACTGAACTTAAAGTAATAATAAAAATGGAATCAAAAGCTAAAGGAGACAAAAGCTACAAAACTACAGTTATTCTTAAGCTACAAGAATTCGGTCGGCAAGCCGACTCATCATAATTGATAACGCTGCTCTTGCGACACATGCAAAGTATCAGGTTACCGCCGCTGACCGTTGTCAGCACTTGCGCGTGCAGTTGTTTTGTCTAAACAACTGAGTGCGAGGGGCACTCGTTAACTACCCCCCCCTCAGAACCATAACCGTCCTCGTTCATTTTATAGCTGTTGATGATCTCTTGTATCTTTTTTGAAGCTCGTTTTCTCCTCAGACTCTGGCAGAGGAGGATGGAACCGCTGAAGACGAGGCCGAGTCCACCTCCAGTGATGAACCAGGTTTTAAATGATCCGGCCGATGCTACTTCCCCTTGAAGTTTGTTGATGATATGAAGGTTGTGGTTGTTCATCCTCTGTAGGAACGGCATGCTCAGAATTGGTTCATGGCTAATGAAGTTGAGCAATGGTGAAGCTGCTATGCCTGGGGTTCTGCTTAGAATCTTACGCCGATTTACTTAGAACCATTTATGCAGGCTGCTCGTTCAAAGGTGACGAGAATGGTGCCGTTGACTGCATCGGTGCTGATTCGCGCTGGGCTTTCTTTTACCACCACGATGTCTCAAGTGGCTAGGCTGAGTGTAGCAACGGGCCGTGCTTCCTGCGTGTAATCCACGGGCGCAGGTGTCATGGGAGGCCAATTTGCAGATCGATGCGTAGGTTGTTATGGCGCAGCTTGTTACTGTTATGACGTCATTGTCACATTCAGCTACGGTGTCATCTTGCAGTTGAAGCACAGTTTGTTCGTGGGATACGGAGAGGATGCTGACCTTTCAACATATGAACTTAATTCTGGGATACTCAATTAGAATATGGATAATATTTTCAGACTGGAGGACCTTAATATTAGATGCTTCTATTAAACTTACTATGGGGACTTCTGTGGGATGTTCAATGAGCACAGACTTTAAATCGTCTTGGTCGAAAATTGTTGGATTTATATTGTTGGCTTTAGCAAGCGTGATTGTGAGCATTAAGTTTTGAATTTCTGTTATTAACATTCTATTTCTGGCTAGTAATGCCTCATATAAGTGTGGAGTGTCAACTAAGTCATTTTTCTTGGCTTTTATTATTTGATTAACAGTATCTGTAAGCTGGTTTATTTGCTTTTGAGTTTCAGAGTTTATTACTACCTGTCTATTGTTAGAGTCTATCAATTTTGACTCAGTAATTTTGATTCTTTCTAAATCTATGGCATCAGGTGTACCAGCCACAACCTTGAGTACTGTGCCTAAAAAATCCAAACTTCTGGCAATTCTATGATGAATTTCTAAAACGGACAAAATACTTTTAATGTGATTAGTGTCAACATCTAACAATTTTCGCATGTGAGATTGAGGAAATAATTTGGGCAATTTTTCTGTTTCTTCTACTATCTTTGTGAATTATGGGAATGAAATCGGAATGTGAATAGTCGGCGACCCGAGCGGTTACTAATGTCAGTAAGAATGGAAGTGAACAAATAAGCCTGCAAGGAAAAAATGAAGTTAAATCTATTGTATTTCTTAACTTATTATTTAACTTAAACTCGTATCATTTCAGGTTGTCCTTGTGGACCACCCTCCCTCTAATGAGCACAGACGTTCCTAGGTCTGCTTGGATCAGTTCCTCCGTGCACAGGGGTGATAGCTTGTTTCCCAGTCTCTTGTTTGACTTCACAAAGACTTTTTCCCATACATCAAACACTCTATTTTGTCTGTTCGGATTTATTTTTTCTAACTGTACTTGTTGGACTTTTTCGATCTTGTTTGCGATGGCCTCCCTAAATTCATCAGTAGATGAGTGAATTATTTCAATTGGTTTCATGCCAGTTACTAAGTGCAGCGATCTATTGTATTCTCGTGTCGCTTGTAGAATTGTGTCGTCGATCTTTTTTCCCAATTTAAGACACCTATCAATTTCTGCCAATGTACTATGAAACCATTCTACTTGGCCGTTGGAGGTACTGTGTATTGGGGGTGCATTTACAACATCGATTCCATAGTTGTTCTTTAACAGTGAAGTAATGGTTTCTGAACTAAATGCCCCTTCATTGTCACAGTAAATGATCTTAGTTTTTGGAAAAAATTCACGGCTTGTATAATTGGTCCTCTAACATCCGCTATAGTACGAGTAACTATTGGTTGCACGATTGCAAATTTCGACAACTTATCAACACATGTCAAGAACTGCTTCTTGTCGGTTGAAAAAATATCGATGTGCAACCTTTCGCCAGAGTGTGACGGAACTGGCGTCTCACCGAGGAACTGTTTCTTAGGATGCCTGTCATATTTGGAGCGGGTACAGATTTTGCAATTTGCTACAATTTCTTTCAAAATTCTATTCATTTTTGGAAAATAATACTCTTCCAAAATTTGCTTGCAATTTTCTTGTGC